TAAAACAAATCTTTTAAATTAAATGAGTTTCTAAAGGATTCTATTTTTAGAATACTCGAATTGGTTGACTTTTTGTCTAGCTAATGTCTGGAAATTCTTGATTCAGGAGATTAGGAGATTTAGGATAGTGAGAAATCTACTTTGAACTTTGTCAACTTTGAACTCTCAACTTTGAAAGGTTATATAAAAAAAGTCGAAAGCTTGAGTCGATTAGATAATGGATACCATTTTAGGAGACATATTGAAGATTTATCTCAAGAAAAATCAGAATGATTGGTTCAATTTTGGCCAATCTAGACCCTCTAAAGTGCGACGCTATAATTGTGGGGCCTATAGTTGCCTATCTATTAGGTTTTTGCAGAAATTGTTTACACACTTTAGACTGCACAAATTCAGCCTCAACTGCTCTCCATTGTCAGTAAACTTTCTACACATGTGAACTTTCAAGAAGATCAAGATTCAAGATCGAAATCTTGAACTCTTATAGCCTATGATTCTTGATTTAGTATAGTGAGAAATCTAAGAATATGCATTCAGCTTGATCATCGAAAGAAAGGAAACTTTCTCCCAAATTGGGGATCAAGGAACGGAAAGGGCGATGTCATTTCTCTTTTCTTTCTCTTTTCTATTTAATCTCGTAGCTGATAGCTATTTGATTCACTTGATTCACTTGATTCATTTGATTCATTTGATTTCTATTTGATTACTATTTGATCTAAATGATTAATTCTTGCTAAAGATCCAATTGCAAGAGTTTCTGAATGAATTTTATCTGCAGAATTTGCAATTTGAAATTGTTTACACACTTTAGACTGCACAAATTCAGCCTCAACTGCTCTCCATTGTCAGTAAACTTTCTAAACATGTGAACTTTGAAGAACTATCGAAATCTTGAACTCTCATAGCCTATGATTCTTGATTTAGTATAGTGAGAAATCTAAGAATATGCATTCAGCTTGATCATCGTAAGAAAAGAAACATTCTCCCAAATTGCGGATCAAGGAACGGAAGGGGCGATGTCAGTTCTCTTTTCTTTCTCTTTTCTCAACTTTTCCCTCTTTTTCCTCACATCAACGAGTTCTCATCAAAAAGAGAAAAACTGCCAAATGCATATCAACAAAAATCCATTTGATTCTTCCAAAAATATCAAGCTATCAAAACAAGCTTTGTTTTGAGTTTTTTTTCAGATTTCATTTCATTTTCATTTTAACTTTTAGTTTATTTTGTTTCAAAGCTTTAACTTATTATAAAAGAGCTATAAATTTAACTTTAACTCTCACAAGATTTCGTTTAAAATCTCATTCAAAATTTCATTTAAAATTTTCTTGACTTGAATTCAAGTTTTGTGAGTTTAATTTGTAAAAAGAATGTGATATTTGCTTTCAATACTTTAGTTTTTTCCGTTATGTTATTCCAATAGTACTTTGTTCTAATGTAAAAACATTTTTCCTATCATATCCATTTATTAGGTTGGTGAATTGAAAACTGCGGGACTTTGAACTAAAATTTATTGAACATAAAACCATCAATTCATTCCAAATAATTTCCATTATTATTGACGACTTCTGCCCATTTTACAGGCAATTTGCGGATTCCTCTTTCGTGGTAGGATTTTGGTTTGTGTGTGAGACAAGTGTGAGACTCAAAAATGGAGGACTGGAGATGTCCCAGTTTGAGCACTTTCTTCAAAAGAAACCCATTTTGGTGTCAATGGAAAAGTTGTAGAGAATCAAAAATCAAGCTTGTATCCAAATTTCCAAAAAGATACACTTAGTAGTTTCGCTTAAACTGCAAGTTTTGTGAAAATTCGTAAATTTGGCATTTCTTGAAAACCAGTGTTTTGAATCGTTCTGAAAATTTGGATATAAGCTTGATTTTTGATTCTCTACAACTTTTCCATTGACACCAAAATGGGTTTCTTTTGAAGAAAGTGCTCAAACTGTCACATATGACAATAGTAGGCGGTTTTTAATTCACCAACCCAATAGATTGAGATTAGCTTTGATTTGCGGAGAAGTCACTGTCGAGGATTCGGAAACGGTCAGAAGCGATCATGAGATCAGAGAGGGAAGGGGGTTATGTAAAAGCCCTGCACCAGACGACGAGCGATTACGCGGCCGCACAAAGATCACACAGAACACTCAGAACAATTTGAAGCGAAACTACTAAGTGTATCTTTTTGGAAATTTGGCTATAAGCCTAATTTTTGATTCTCTACAACTTTTCCATTGACACCAAAATGGGTTTCTTTTGAAGAAAGTGCTCAAACTGTCACATATGACAATAGCCGGCAGTTTTCAATTCACCAATCCAATAGGTTTAATGTGTAAAAAGAATGTGATATTTGCTTTCAATACTTTAGTTTTTTTCCGTTATTTTATTCCAATAGTACTTTGTTCTAATGTAAAAACATTTTTCCTATCATATCCATTTACTTCTTCAACAATTACAACCATTTTACCTATCATACCCATTTACTTCTTCAACAATTTTACCTAAACTCTTCTCCTCTCTGAACTATCAATTCCGTTCTATTAATTTACAAAAACTATCGTAATTGTCTAAAGTTTTATCTACTTTCTTTCTCCTTCTGCAGGAGTTCAAAAAAGCTACAAAAAGTCAAGATCTAAAATCTCAATAAATCAGCTAAAACATAAGCCAAGATTACGTTAGTTTTAAGCAGTTTTGGTAAGTTTAAGTTAGAAAACTCTATTCACAGACAGTAATTCCACGCATTCAACATTTCTGGAAGCTAAAATTGCACTTTTCAACACATTTCCTTTCACTATTTTTCCAAAAATATTGTTCTAAAAACGAAAATTTCTCTTGATTTCCCAATGGCAATTTATTAGCGGGCCAATTTTTTTCCATGGCTATGTGAACAAATTAAGGAAAACTCTCTTCGATTTGAACCTTTTTTTCAGAAAAGAAAAAGAAAAATACACAGAATTTCTTCAGTTTTCCACCAATCAATCCAATTTTCGACGCCCAAGTCCCGGCCGGCAATTTTTTTCGATATTAATGTCTCGAAACGGGCATATTAGTCGCTTTTTTTTGCAAGAAACGAACTTTTTTTGGAGTGTATTTTCTTTCTTAATAGCTTTCGTTTACTATTTAATCTCGTAGCTGATAGCTAGTTGATTCATTTGGTTCATTTGATTCATTTGGTTCATTTGATTCATTTGATTCATTTGATTCATTTGATTCAGATGATTCATTTGATTCATTTGATTCATTTGATTTCTATTTGATTACTATTTGATCTAGATGATCAATTCTTGCTAAAGATCCAATTGCAAGAGTTTCTGAATGAATTTTATCTGCAGAATTTGCAATTTGAAATTGTTTACACACTTTAGACTGCACAAATTCAGATTCAACTGCTCTCCATTGTCAGTAAACTTTCTAAACATGTGAACTTTGAAGAACTATCGAAATCTTGAACTCTCATAGCCTATGAACCGAATTTCACCTTTTAGGAAACAAATTTATGCTAATTTGTGTCCAAACATTGATTTCTGATTTCTCATTAAATTCACCATTTAACAAGCAGATTTTGTAAAATGTAAAATCCCATTCGCACATGGCCTATACAGGATGGCCCACAGTGCCGCACTTAAACTGCGTAGAGCATATGAAATTTTGTTCATTAACATAATAAATTCAATCATTAGATAAAATTTGCCTTTATGACAAATTTTCCTTATTTTAAGTACTTGATTTTAGGTTTGTGAATGGGACCAATTGCCTATCCATTAACCCATTAAAAACTTGTCTAAAGGCTGGTCACTTAAAAAGTGACCAAGTCACTTTAGCTGAAGAAATCTCTCATTTTTTTACCTGAACCCCACTCTGATTTTTTTGTCAAAACTCTTTGAATAGTTAAGTTTATTAAAAAATCTGAAAAGAGTTGATGGCTTGATTTTTTAGAAATCACCGTGCAAACTTTTTCCGAGAACTTTCTTTTCAGCTTAATAGTTGCGTTAGTTAGTATATACCAAATGCTAACTTTCTATCAATTCAATCACTTCTGTATCCTATTTTATTACCAAACTACTATTTGAACCTATCAATGATCCTGTGGCGAATAGCCATTAAAAGTTGTCCAACTCTGCCAGCCTAAAAATTGGAAAAGTATTGAGGAAATCGGTGCGCCTTTATTCTATTTCGCGCCCCAAATCATTTATTGTTTTGTAGCTTGTTAACTGAGTATCTTTTGTTAAAGCCTATATAAGGCAACTGTTTTCTCATTTGTTTTTCGGTTATCTTTCATTTTTTCTTTCTGCTTTCCTCTCATCCTGTGAAAGTTGTGTCCTAATTAGAACGAAATTGTTTCTGTTTTTTATCGTCGATTTTGTTATTGGAACCAATATGGTTCCAATATGGTTCGGATACAGCTCTAATATGGTTTCAATATGGTTTCAATATGATTCCAATATGGTTCTAATATGGTTCCAATATGGTTCCAATATGGTTCCAATATGGTTCGGATACAGCTCCAATATGGTTCCAATATGGTTCCAATATGGTTCGGATACGGTTCCAATATGGTTCCAATATGGTATATCCAATACGACAATTGAATTATCCAATACGATAATTCAATTATCGATCTTGTGTGAAAATTGCTCAAGTGAGAGCCCAAAGATTCCGAGTCAGTCGGCTATTGAATAAAGTGTTATTAGTTCAAGTGAGATCAGATATCTCGAAGCAAGAAATAACGTGTCTTGAGTGAAGAGTACCAAGCACGCGAACAATATTTCTTTACAGATCCATTTCTCTTTATCAATAAACCAATTTCTTTTTTTCTTAAGTCCATCAAATTCAATTCCTCAAAAAAAAAGCTAAATTAGTTCATTGCTCATGTTGCAAAGAGTTGTGGTTTGAAGAAGACGCAAAAAAAACGGAAAGAAAATAATTCAAAAGACAAAAAGCATAGAGCTTTAGAAGGGGAAATGGGTGGGGTCCTCCCTTAGAACAATGGGTTCGGCGGGGAAAATATGCATGAGAGAGAAGGATGGAAGGGACGGGCCTTGAGTGAGTGAGGAGGCTTCTCTTGCTTTCAGCTTCCCCAAAAATTTCTCAAAAATATCCCATCCTTGCTCACCTTTATAAAGAAATTGTTCAAATTTTAGTAATCGTATTGGCACAGTTCACTAGTACTTTTCTGTAAACCTTAATTTTTAACTCTATTTTCTTTTGAACCGATAGTGATGTGAGAGTCTTTTTGAATCACCTTTAAAGCTATTTTCATTATCGCTTTTTCCTTGTACAATGTTATTGGTTATCGAACATTTGATACGCGCCCCGCCTCTTCTACCATTGACAATCTAACTTTGAGCTGAGATTTCTTGGTGTTGGGCTGTCTAATCTAAATGTTCTTGGTATCATTGGATACGCCAAGTCTTTCTCTGTCGATTGGTACAAAAACTATTTAAATTGGACAGCTAAACACCAAGAGATTTGCGCTCAAAGTTGGATTGCCAATGGCAAAGGGGGCGGGGCCTCACGTATAAAAGGTCCCACAATCGCCCCGCCCCTTCTACCATTGACAATTCAACTTTGAACTCAAATATCCTGGCTTTGGGCTATCCAATTTAAACAGTTTTTGTATCAATCGACAGAGAAAGGCTTGGCGCATCCAATGATACTAAGAACATTTAAATTAGACAATTGAACTTCAAAGTATTTGAGTTCAAAGTTAGATTGCGAATGGCAAAGGGGCGAGGCGCGTATCAAATGTCTCACAATCTCGTTTTTGAGGGTTTTTGTGTCTCTTTCAATGCTTTTACGATTCCTCTCTTTTCAAACTTCCGTTGAAAAATAACAAATTCATCAATTAATCGTTTCTTTTAAATCAAAAGTCTTTCTTATTCAATTTCCATCTTTTTAAGTCAATTTCGGTTTATTTACAAGCAAATTCGAGAGTGTAAATAGGTGTTTTTCGTAGAAAATCTTTCAAAAACCTCTACGAAGAAATTGACTGAATGAATTTCTCTAAAAATTTGGCTATATACCTACCGTAAATACTGCAATAGTACCCCACTGCCATAATGACGGTGCGGAGTATTGCGTCGTCTAGCTTTGAACGAGTTTTTCTCGACACTGGTTTATGCTACAATGCGCGCTTAGGTATCAAAAAATAGCCCTGAATTTCAGCTATTTTTTGATACCAAAGACGCATTTTTTGAAAGTATGGGCGCTATGAAATACTAAAAACTTTTGCGACTACCCGACTGTACGAGGGGGGTGGGGTACTATTACAGTATTTATGGTAACTTTTTGTGCTCTATCTATTGACATCTATTTTATCTATATTATTTATTTTATCTCTATCTCTATCCATTTTATCTATTGATCCGAAGATAGGTTTTTTTAGTTCAATTGTTTAAACCGTATCATCAAGCCGTCCTTTTTGACTACCCGACTACAGGCTCTCAAAAGAATCCAGACATAAGACATTTTAAACCCGTTTTAATGTAATTTTGCAGAAAAATAATTGACCTTTCAAATGAAACAAACCGTAGTTCAATTGAAGCATTTTTTGGCTTCAAACGGAAGTACAACAAAAACGAAAAAACTTTCCGGACAGCCTAATAAATGCAGCTTTTTGCCCTCCTTTTTCACTACCCGACTTCAGGCTCTCAAAAAAATCCAGACATTCGAGCCAACTATTTAATGATTACCTACAATCTCTGCATTGTAAACAATATTTTTTTTCCATTTCAGGAAGTGAAATCCTTCCACCGCCGCAAGACTCAGACACCGACTCGGGCATATGTGCAGACTCGGATCAGAGCAGTCCCCGGCACGCCCAGCCAATCAACGGTATGTAAAAAGTTGAATACTTTGGAAATAGTTCAAGTAAGAATAAGTAAATGAGCACAGCTTGAGTACAGCTACTTTAAAACATTCAAATATCCTTATTTCAAATTTCCAGGCTTTCCGGGCTCATCACTTCCTCGTCACCTAGCGCCCGGCTATCAGCCACCACGAGAACTCGACAATAGGGACTACCTTACTCCGAACAGTGCTCGGTGAGTGAGAAAACTGGATTTATAAATCTGCCTCTTGCATAGTTTTCGGGTATTTTGAAAGAATCCAGGTATTTTGAAAAAATCCGAGGTTTTCAACGGATCGTCACTCTTTGAAGGCCTATAACTTTATCCAGAGACAATATTATTGCTATCTTTTTATATCATTCTACAGAGAACATTCCAGGCTTTCAAATAATACCAAATAAAGCTTGATTGGATTTTTCATTCCCATGCAAACAAGGCGACACGATACCCGAGTTGGATAGGCTTTATTTGCTGAGTTGGCTCTGATTTTCTTGGACTGGATTATCCAATCAAGCTTTATTTGGTATCATTTGAAAGCCTGGAATGTCCTCTGTACAATGATATAAAAAGATAGCAATAATATTGTCTCTGGATAAAGTTATAGACCTTCAAAGAGTGACGATCCGTTGAAAACCCCGGATTTTTTCAAAATACCTGGATTCTTTCAAAATACTCGAAAACTAAGTAAGAGCCTTAAATCTTTCTAAATCTTATCGTACATTGGATCAATTGAAAAGTTTTTAAGACAATTCAGAAGCTAAATGAGAGATCTTTCAACTACAAAAAGAAATTTCTAAGAAAGATACATTTGATCTAATTTCTTTGAGATCAAATCAATTTTAAACTTTAAATTCAATTAAAAAAACATTACTAACTGTTTTGAGATACGTGCTTTTATACAAAAAAAAAACCTTTTGAATGAATGAGCCGAGAGTTATTTGAGACTTTCTGTGGCCTCCTTTTTGAGTGCTTATTACCCGCGTTTCCCTTCAAAACTCAAGCCAACTCCTCAAATTTCACGAAAGCATTTAGTTGATTTGATTCCAGCGCACACCTAGCAATTATTCTTGAGCAATCTTGTCAACTTAAACCTTTCAACAGTAAATTTTTCCTTTCTTTTTTTGTTTTTCAAAGTTCTATCGATTTCTTTGACTATTTCTTAGGCTAAGAAAAAGAAAAGAAAGAAAAATCTTTCCCTTTAAGCCATTTTCACTTTCCACAGTTTATTTCCTCAAATTCTGAAAGTTTTTGAAAGTTTCCATGTCAGATTTACAGCTGATTTAAGATTTAAGCAAAAGTAGAGCTTTTGGAATGTTTTGGTTATGTTAAAATATAATTTTCGAGCATTTCTTTCACTTTAAACACTTATCCAGCTAAAAAAATGATAGAAATTACTATACTTTCATTCAAGTTATTATATGCAAATTGAAAATTCGATTCTTCGATCTATATCCTCCAACTTTAAAATGCCGAAAAACTTTTTGCCAATCGAAGTTAAATTTGTAGCAAAAGTTGGCCAAATTTAATTGATCTCAAAAATTTGAATATAATGACGTCGTTCCTTCCCTTTTTTTCAAAAGGATTCCGAAAGCACTTTATAACAGAGCGATTTGCCAGATCTCAAGCGATTACGAGGCTGTACAAAGAACATTTCGCTAGTCATTTACACAATTCTCTTTTGTTCTGTAAATAATTTACAAATGAGATTTAATGTTAAAAATTTGTTCTATAGGGTTTTCAGGGTCGTAGAATCTATTGGCGGAGTTTATTTTAACCCTTTGTCTCAAGAAAATGCCTAAGAGAATCGAATTGGCTTTGGGTTTTGTATATGATAGTTTTTCGCAATGAAAAGAGCCGTATTTCCCGGAAGAACCGCTATAGTTATCTCTGATATAAAAAGTTAGCAAAAATATTATTTCTAGACAAAATTATAAGCCTTCAAAGTGCAAACCAGGAGACACGACAGCCCAGTCGGATAAGCCTCATTTGGTCAGAGTTGGCTCTGATTTTCTTGGACTGGATTACTCAATCAAGCTTGATTTGGTATCATTTAAAAGCTTGAAATGTTCTCTATAGAATGATATAAAAAGGTAGTAATAATATTGTCCCTGGATAAAGTTATAGACCTTCAAAGTGGGTGACACATTTGAAAATACCCAGAAACTACGCAAGAGCCGAGCTTTCAAATGATATATAACACTTGGAGTAATCTCTTTATTTTCCACTTTTAATTCATCAATATGCATCCGTTTCCCAATTTTTCCAGAGCCTGTAACGTCAAAACTTTTATAACCATGAACTGTAGTGAGACAGAGAAACTTTTTACAATTGTTCAAATTTCAAATACTAGTTGATCCTTTTCTACTCTAAAATCTCATTCAATTAAGTAGCTCAACTTGAAGATCTAATAGTAAAATCATAGTCAGTATTGGTCTACAGTAAGGGACACGATTGATCTCTTTATCTCTTTATTTTCTACTTTTAATTCATCAATATGCATCCGTTTCCTAATTTTTTCAGACCCTGTAACGTCAAAACTTTTATAATTGTAGTGAGACAGAGAAAAACAAACTCTTTGTAAGACAAAGTGTTTGTCTTACAAATATACAATACAAACTCTTTGATTTTTTTATATGATAGTTTTTCACAATGAAAAGAGTCGGATTCTCGAGAAGAACCGAATATTCTCTCAATATCATCTCTGTTTTCCTTTTAGTTAAAAGGGTTTTCTAAAAAGCACCTCTTTTCAAAAGCTACCGTAAGCTTTCAGTTTCCATTAGATCAGCCTAATTTTGAGCTCATTAACTGAGCCTTGTTCCTCAACAAATGACACCAAAATTGAGCTGATCTGAGCTGATGGAAACTAGCGATTCGATTACGCGTAATTACGGTCGTTTAAATACCTTTCAGAAAACCTGTTGACTAAAAGAAAAGTTACTTACAGCTTGCACAAAAAAAGATTCTATTAACTATACAAAATTTTCCCAATTTCCCTTGAAAACCCAGTAAAATTTTGATGCCAATATTGCGTGATCATAAAAATAGCTAAAAAATGAGACATAGAAACGTTTGAAAACCCCATTTTTCCTTTAAAAAAAACCCCCCACCTTTCCCACGAGGCCAAAAATCGAAAAAAGAAAAAGGAGATGCTTTTTTGCTTTCCTTCTTTAGGTAAAAAGGGGTTTAGATTGGTTTAAACTAGAGGAAATCTTGCCTTTTTTTGCTAGAGGAACTCTTGCTTTTGAGATTTTCAAAAGTGATAGCTTGAGGAGGAGAAAAACTGAAAGAATTGGTTACTTTGGATTTTATGATGGCTCAAAAAATGTCTCAAAGCCTCAAAAAATGATTTTTTAAACTTTGATTTGATGATTGTTATTTAAAAGAGTTAAAATCGAAGATTTAAAAACCATTTTCTATTTCAGACGCCTACTTGAGGGGGTCAACATTTCGGCATCGCCACGACGTCTGCCGCAACGCCCCACAGGTTTGCGATTTTCAAATGAAAAGGAAACGACCAAGTTGTCAATTTGTCAATTTTTGGCTACTAGTTACCTGCTACTTATAGATTATTCAGTAGAAATTACAGATGAAATTGTTGGCTGATTTTTGAAGAAATCACAATCGTAAGAATCTAATGAACAACCCAAATAAAAACCAAGTCAATGACTAGTTTAACTTATTCAAATTGGAAGTCCGTCTATTCTCAGATAAAACATTCAATAACGCATTGACGGCAATCATTTTGGGTGATTATCAGACATTTGATAAGCCCCGCGCCTTTTCCCATTGGCAATCTAACTTTAAGCAGCTAAAATATCTTGGCTTTGAGCTGTCCAATTCAAATAGTTTTTGAACGAACCGACAGAAAAAGACTTAGCGCATCAAATAATACTAAGAACATTTAAATTGGACAATTGAACGCCAAAAAATTTGAGATCAAAGCTAGATCAATGACAAAAGGGGGGCCTCGCGTGTAAAAGGTCCCACAACCCCGCTTCTTTTGCCATTGGCAATCTAACATTCAGCTCAAATATCTTAATGTTGGGCTGTCCAATTTAAAAAGTTTTTGTACCAATCGACAGAGAAAGACTTGGCACATCGAATGATACCAAAAATAGTTAAATTGGAAAGCCCAACACCAAGATATTTGAGCTCAAAGTTGGATTGCCAATGGCAAAAGGGGCGTGGCGCGTATCAAATGTTATACAATCTTTCTGGCTTGGCTGACGTTTCGCACGACAGCTCTCTATGAAAATTTGCAACCAGAGGCATTCTGGGATGAAGAATCTAAATCCGTTATTAATTTTTGAGCAACTTTAATTTCCGAGCCAATACAATACAGCCAAACTTGAGTAATTAAATCAAATTGGACAAAAAGAGACGAAACCAAATATAGCTTTTGTCTTTTATCGCTAAAGGCCGTGTGCCAAAAGCCACACGATTACGTAAACATGAAAATTTTCACGTTTTTGTAGTCGCACACCTTCTGGAAACCAGCCCTGGATTTGGGGTTGCATTTGGGTAATTAAACCGAATGAAATCTCTAAAAAATAGAGCAGTTTTCTTTAAAAACAGATTCGAAATCCTTATCCTCATGGTTTTTCCCCCTGGATTGCAAATTTTCAGTCAAATCGGCCTCAAAGATCGGCCAAAATCAGGCCAAATCCTCATCCTCATGGTTTTTCCCCCTGGATTGCAAATTCTCCGTCAAATTGCCCTCAAAAATCGGCCAAAAACGGGCCAAAACCGACCAAAAACCGGCCTCATTCAATCGGCCTCAGATTTTTAATACTTCCTTACCTTTCAAAGGACTGGAAATGAGTTTTAAAAGAAAATATAGAACCAATTTGATATCGAAATTCAAAACCAATTTTTAAATTACAAGATGAAATCTTTCTTTTCTCATAGTGATTCTTTCAGGCGCTCCGGCAGCTCCCGCTCCACCTCTCCAAAATGGAGGACCGGCGGCGCGAGTCGCAAAACAGTTTCGCGTCCGATTCGCCGATCAGGTTAAATTTTTAAATGTAAAAAAGCATTTGACCAAACCAAAATCAAACCAAAATTTATCACTTTAACGGTAAACCACGATAAAACGAGTTAAACGAGTTAAACGAGTTGAATGGGGCCATCGAATTGAGGCCATACCCGTAAGCGAAAGGAGAAAAACCGTACCCATAACCATATAAATTCCCATAGCCAATTTGAGATTGAAGAAAAGGATAAGAATTGAAGTTATTCAATGCATATGGTGAATTCAACATCAATTGAGATAAAGCCGGGTTCTGTAGTTGGGAATTCATGGGCAGAATTGGTCGAATGAGTGAGGATTGCATGGAGGGAAGCGAGTTTTGTGAGTGAAGAATGGCTTGCGGCGATTGGGTCATTAAATAGAGAAATTGAGCGTCTTCAGCTGGAATTCGGATTGATTTGAGGGAAACCGATGAATTACAAGGTGGACCATCATATTAAGTTGTTAAAAAAGTTCGCGATCACTTGCAGTTTTCGTCAAGTTTTATTTGCAAATAAAAATAAGAACGTTCACTCTTCGAAGTCCGTCATTCTCTACGACTTTCTGCCATCGATCAGCAAGATTTTGGATCTGTTCGATGCACCAAGCCGGCTCCTTTGAATCAAAGAACTCTTCACACTTTTGAAGAAGCTTCAACTTCTTCAAAGCTTCAGCTTCTTCAAAGCTTCAACTACTTCAGCTTCTTCAAAGCTTCAACTTCTTCAAATGACTCAAATCGGCGATCTTTCAGAAGTAATGCATTGAACGGAAGAGGCCATAATCGGCACAATCTTCGCTGCAAGCTAGATTTGGCAGAATCTCAACGCCAACTCTTCAAACTTGGTCTTGGTCTTCCTGACGGTATTTCACTTTGTTCCAGCAAAAGCAAGCCGCAGCTTGGCATTGTTTTTGCCCACAATGCCAAGCCCCGGCTTGTTTTGCTGGAGCAAAGTGCACTTTCGTCGAACCAGCCTCCTCTACTTCTCTACCAATTTTTCGTAAATGCTTTCAAATAAGCCAAAAGCCATAACAATCCATTGTCCAAAGAATTAGATAATTTAAACTTTTCTGCAAGTGACCACAAACTTTTTTAACAACCTAGTACGTCTTATATGAAGGCAGATTAAGGTCAAAAATGTGTCAGATTGCTTAAAGTTTGTTACAATTTTCATTTTTCATTTCATTTCATTTTTATAACATTTTAACACTTAGATTCCATTTTTTTGGCCCGATCGATCGATTATAAGAAACATTAGGGCTATTAGAAAACAGAATCGCCTGTCACGGAGATACATATTATGAAGTTAAGTGCTCTAATACTAAGCCCAATGGTAGCTGATAGCTTTCAAAGTTTTTATTCTTACTATATTGTCTTGTTGTTTTACTATCTTGAGGTTACCTGAAAATTGTTGATTTCCCAAAGCACTCATTGAGCTTAATGACGGTTGTGCGCCTCCTCTAGCCATAATCGCATTTTGAAGCTCCAATCGTAGTTTTGTTTCAAGCTAAAGAAGAACTTTGATTGCACCATTAGCTGAAAAATATTTTGCTCTTCTAGCTAAACTTTTCAAGGTCAATTTTACTTTTTCTGCTTCTCTGTTGGCATTTTGATTCATTTAACTCTAAAATTTGATAGAATTTCGAAGAAATAACCTCTAAATTCCTGCCAGCCAGCGGTGTATTATATTGAGGGAGTGGTTGCGCAAAAACTTGATAGTATAGAACGCATATCGACATAAAAATCATGTGGGATTGCATAGAGAATTTTGGATAGATCGGGGAAATGAAATGGATATATGGAAATGTGTTTTGTCTGACAAAAAAGAGCGTGAAAATGTAATCCAAACTTGGAAAGGGGAATGACGAAAAGGGATTGACCTACTGATTCCCTCGGCGCCCGATTTGTGCGGATAAACTCGGGCGTTGGTTTAGAAAAAAACTGAAACAAGTTGAAAAAAGAAGAGAAAGAGTATTTAAATATTATAGTCTTGAACTTTACATGTTTCTAAGTCCTTTCGAAATCCTCAAGACTTTGATGAGTAAGATGGATGGTTTAAGAGTGAGTTGAATGTTTAATTTGAAAACCAAACGCTATCAAATTGAAAACCAAACTATAAATTGATAACCGTATTTATTCCAATTAAAGAATCCTTTGTATTAGAAAAGTCTCCTTTAGACAAAATTTTTTATTTTTTCGGATTTGTCAACTCTTGGATAGTATTGGGTTGGAGGGTTGAAAACTGCGGGACTTTGAACTAAAATTTATTCAACATAAAACCATTAATTCATTCCAAATAGTTTCCATTATTATTGACGACTTCTGCCCATTTTACAGGCAATTTGCGGATTCCTCTTTCGTAGTAGGATTTTGGTTTGTGTGTGAGACAAGTGTGACAAAAATCGAGGACTGGAGATGTCGAGATGTCCCAGTTTGAGCACTTTCTTCAAAAGAAACCCATTTTGGTGTCAATGGAAAAGTTGTAGAGAATCAAAAATTAGACTTATAGCCAAATTTCCAAAAAGATATACTTAGTAGTTTCGCTTAAAATGGAAGTTTTGTGAAAATTCGTAAATTTGGCATTTCTTAAAAACCAGTTTTTGAATCGTTCTGAAAATTTGGATATAAGCTTGATTTTTGATTCTCTACAACTTTTCCATTGACACCAAAATGGGTTTCTTTTGAAGAAAGTCCTCAAACTATCAGATATGACAATAGCCGGCAGTTTTCAATTCACCAACCCAAGATAATAGCTAAGTTGGTGTTTTGGTGGTTGGGAGGGGTTTGAAGCGGTTCGTGTCAATACTTTTCGTCTATTCCGGAATAATTACATATGCTGAAGTATTTACATCAAGTTTAAATTCAAACCAGTTTTCAATTCAACAATGCAATAAAATGCTCATCTTTTTAAAGAGTTTTAAAGGCTTTAAATATTTATAGATTAAAAAAGATGATTATAAATTAAAAATACATCGAAAATTAGTCTTATTTTGATTAGATTAGTCTTGATTTTGCTTTAAATTAATTCTTATTTTGCATTTCAGGTCAGTGACGGTCTTGCGTGCACATCGAGTGGCTCGTCCGACTCGAACACGTCGCCAAAAGGAGCACAAAATTGTGGGTTTTTTAAACAAGAACATACCATTTTAAAGCTATTTTTAACTTACAATATCTAACTGAGTACGGGGAAAAATGAAATAAATACTTGAATAGATACTTGGATAGATAATTCATCAGATACTTTATTGTTTAATTCTTTAAAACTACAGCAGAAGCTTGCAATTCTGAGTTTAAACTAAACAACAAAATATAAAGGAGATTTGGTTACTTACCGTGAACAAAACCTATTTCTTGATAAAGTCTGTGTGTCAAGATCAGTACGAAAATGCAAGACAAGATAGATCTACCAATTTATTGATTTTCTCGATCTTTCTCGATCTAATAAGATTTCATTTGGCCCCTTCGATCATTCTTAATCATGCTTCCAGCTCCTTCTATCTATAAGTCCAATTTCTTTTACTTTTCTATTGAGTTTTATGTGATGTCAAAGCCAGAATTTGGTGCTTTACGATTAACTGGAGAGTCGAGCGATTATCGGGGACCCAAGTTTTTGGCCAACTTGCAGCTCATTTTTAAGCACCTTAAACTTGTCAGATCAGAAAATTACAATAAGATTTAGATAGCTTAAAACGTCAACTTTCAAAAACTATTTGTTTAATCAAAAGTTATCAACAAAAACCTACCTAAAGGCTGCAAAATGGTCAAAAACTCGAACTCCTCCAGCAATCGCAGGCCAACTTGCAGCTCATTTTTAAGGACCTTAAACTTGTCAGATCAGAAAATTACAATAAGATTTAGATAGCTTAGAACGTCAGCTTTCAAAAACTATTTGTTTCATCAAAAGTTATTAACAAAAACCTATCTAAAATCGGGCTGCAAAATGGTCAAAAACTTGCCCACATTTTTTTATTAAAGCAACTACTCAATTTTTGCGCAAATAGAATTGAAAATCTAAAATTATGACAAAGTTAAGCTATGGATAGATTCATTCAAATATTTCTCTTAACCACTTCTTACTCACCCCTCGAGTTTCATCTCAAGAATTGTGGGTGGACGGGGATGAGGCAGCGTCCTTTTTTGGAGGCACATTTCATTTGAGAGAAATTCGAAATTGGACACCAGCCGTCAATGCATTTGGAGATGGAATTGAATGAAAAAAAGGGGAAAGGGGGAGAAGAGTGGATAGGGGAATGGAAGAAAAGAAAAAGAGTGATAAAAAGAGAAAGTCGAAAAGAGTGAGATTGAAAAAAAGGGTTAGTGACATAGGCATTGGGATTCTGGACTTCTTGGATTTGTGGGTGGACAGGCTGGGAAAAGGGAGAGTCTCCCTTTTTCAAAAAAGAGACTTGGGCACATTCATATCATTTACACTTGATCCCCTTTCTTCAAAAAGAAAAGAAACTTGGCTATGAATCTGATATTTTCTTTTAGTTCAGACTTCAGTTCTCGAATTGTTAAAGCTATCGTAGAGTCACTTTTAATAGAATTGCTTATCTATCAACTCTTTCGAAAGCTTTATCTTTTCTATTTAAGCTTTATCTTTTCTTTTCTATTTCTAGATTAATTTGGTGAACTTTTGAGAAGTCTCCTATAAACTACAGTACTGGACAATGAAATATGATATTTGAAAAACGATCGTCACTTTCGGGCGTCTGTAGCTCCCTTGTCTTTGAGTTTACATTATTAGTGTTATACATTTTCTGAAAGCTCTTTCCAAGGGCTACACAATGGTAATATTAATATTTAGAAATACGGTAAAGACAAGGGAGTTACAGACGCGCGAAAGTGAGTGACCTTTTTTCAAATATTATATTTCATTGTCCAGTAGTGTATCTCTAATTTCTGCCTGCCAAATTTTCTGCAATAAACAAAATTTATACTTATTCAAAGTTTTCTTCATGTTTTTCAACAATTTAAAACTTAATCTTAAGCAATTTTGGATTTAAAAGTAAGATTTAGAATTCTGGGCGGGTTATAAAAGAGCAAATAAAAAGGAGAGCTCAAACAGCTACTAAACTTTATGAAATTACTATAAAACTGTCAACGATTGATTCAGCTACATCGATTATCCCAGAAATGTTTGAAAAACTTAGAAAAATATGAGAAAATCAAAGTATAAAGTGATTACTGGATTTTCTCTAATAGTAGTGCACACTGGCGAGCCGAGTTGGTGACTATTTTACGGTTTCGAAGCTTTTGCAGAAGCTCAACACTCAAATCCCTCACTAGATCCAATCGTCAGCTACATTTTCCAACCCAACATCGATAGGTTCTGATAAGCGGTTCTCGAGATTTCAAGGAATTTAGGATTAGTAGTTTCCAATTGTAGAAGCTCCCAATTGTATTCAACATTTCTGGAAGAATCTCCCCGGCGAGCCGAGTTTGTGACTATTTTACGGCTTTCAAAGTTTTCACAGAAGCTCAACACTCAAATCCCCCACTAGATCTCATCGTCAGCTACATTTTCCGACCCAACATCGATAGGTTCTGATAAGCGATTTCGAGATTCTCGAGATTTCGAGCAATTTAGGCGACGCTCAGGGTGCCTCCTATTAGAGAAAATACGGTATAACTCCCCAAATAGTCTAGTCTCTAGTCTTTGGCTAAAATGCTAAAACTCTAATAATATTGCACACTCTGGTCCGAGATGGGGTTGAGAAAATGGTATGGCGCAATAGAGAATGCTTACAGAAGCTCAACACTCAAATCCCCCACAAGATCTCATCGTCAGCTACATTTTCCGAGAATGAGAGAACTATTAGAGAGAATACGGTATAAGCAATGCACTACCGTACCTGATGAGCTAGTTATCTTGCAATATTGCATACCTATTGCAAGTTGCCGTAAACAAAAGCTTAAAAGCTAAAGTTATTCAACTTCTTTGTCTCATTAGTCCTCAATAGGCCAAAAATAACTAAAAAGTTTTATTTTTATTTAAAAGTGAAGGAATTTTTGAGCATTTAAACGCTAAAGAGCTTGATTATTTACAGCTAAATATTAAAAGAGTTTAGGATTTTAAAAGCAATAACTATTTCTATGAAATTTTGCCATTTCTTAAATGTTTATCATCGGAAAAACTATTAGAAAACAATCTTGTTTTTCATAAAATTTCGGAACAATTTCCCTTTGAATTGTCTCCAAATAATGAGCCATATTCAGGATTCTTTATGTCCAAAATTTCTTCTTTTCTTTCATTTTCTTCTCTCCACAAACCCAACAATTAGCGTTTTTCGGTGCTCAAATTCTTTTTTCTTTTTCGGATTACTATATTATTTCTATACTATACTATATTGTATGTGTACCAGTTGAAAAACCCAGCTAACAGCCGATTTTTCTCGCCGAGGGCTCCTTGTCGCCATGGCGCGATCGGGAGCTCGCTTGTCTACGGTCCATACGAGCTGGGTTTGATTCCCGGGTGCTTCACCAAAACTTAGTTTTTTAATTTTTATTAAAATAGACTCAACTACAATAGATTCTAAGGTTTTCTAAAGAAGTTTTAGCTTTATTGGTCAAAAAACGGCCAAGAAAATGCTCGTACAGACAAATACAACAAGTCACTGGTAGTTCCAGACCGAGCATATGTTACGTTCGATCTAGTAATCCGTCCGATCTAGAAATCCGTTCGATCTAGAAATCCGTTCGATCTAGTAATCCATCCGATCTAGTAATCCATCCGATCTAGAAATCCGTCCCATCTAGAGATCCGTCCCATCTAGAGATCCGTCCGATCTAAACTGATTCTACGGTCGTCCGATCTAGAGTGAAGTGAGGTCAAACGTCCGATCTAGAATTAAGCCGATCACTCTAAATCTAAGTCTGGATCGGACGTTTGATTTAGAGTGATCGGTTTGTTTCTAGATCGACGTTTGCCCTCACTTCACGATCTAGAATCAGTCTAGATCCAACAAAAATAGCTCAAAAATAGCTCAGTAGATAGCTCAAAAAAAAGCCTGCAATTTTCCAGGTGTTGAGAATTGGGTTCCCGACTTTCTCTTTTAAATAAAAAGCATTCAAAGTCTAGATTGACTTTAGTATTCTTTAAGTTTTTAATAATTTTAAGTAGAATTTTGCAAAAATTGTTTGTTTTTTTGTTTTGCAGACAAAGCTTGGATTTACTTTCGTTAAAATTTACTGAAAGATTCTAGCAGATCTCGAGCAGATAGATCTCGAGTGGCGAAAAATCTCAAAAATTGAGGCAATTCTTATTTTATTTCAATTCTTATTCAGTATATATATAAATACTTTATTCAGAAAGAAATAAAGTGCGAAAACGACATAAAAAATGTACTAGATAAAAGATGACAAAGTCACTTAAAATGCAACGAAATAGCCCTTTTAAAATCAGACACGGTAGAGATCAAACGCAACTTGTCGGGAAGGGCATTCCAAACTTTAGTCACACGATTTACGATCTCATCCGAGAGTTCCTAAGCCTTGTCCCTCAGCGGACTCATCTCATTTCGTGATTGCTTCCTTAAAAATCTTATCTCAATCTTCAGTTTGCTAAATCATAAGACGAAATGGATTTACGAAAAAAGCTCTGGAGGATTTAGAGAAAGCAGATTCGGGATTTGCGAATAAAAAGCATTGCGAACTAAAATTCTTGTTTCTCAATTTTAATCATGAATTTATTTTGTGAAATTTTCAGCAAAATAAAAGCAATTTTAACTGAATTGAAAAGATTTTTGATCTCAATTCAAGATTTTTTTCTTTCTTTTTTGAAAACAATTTCTAACAGTTTCAATTTCAGTAACGTTTTTTTAAAAGCCTATCATTCAAATTCTTGAATTTTTTGTCTCATTGTAAACCAACGGAATGTTAACGTTTCCAAAAAGCGATAAAAATTGGATTTGTTGTGTTTCTCAACGAAATCCAACGAAATTCGACGATGGTGTTAGCAATTTTTCATCGAAAAAAAGATGGTTTCATTCAAGGGAAAAAAAAAAAGAGAAAAATAGGATTGAGCAGAGAAATTTTTTTTTTCGGAAAAGAGAACAACCATGAAATTTCCGGCAACGATCGCATTATTGCGGCTTCTACCAATCCCTTTTTTTCTTGTGCTTTCTTTTCCGAATGCTCACATCATTTTTCTGTTCCAATTTCAGCTCAAAGCCGCAGTGATATATTTTGCGCATTAGCTTTTGGAAATTTCCAAAATGCTTAAGCTTAATCACAAATGCTTAAGCTTAATTTCAAATGCTTAAGCTTTAGATTGATTATGTTAAGTTTAAAAATACCAGTCCCGCACTGTTTTTGAAACTTTTTCTGCTGGCTGAATGAAAAATGGAATTCAAAATTTTCTTGACACCAAAGAATAGCAAAAGCCAAAAGAATAGTGAGCTTTTGGCATGTTTTATGGTAACACAACGACCTTTGGCTCAAGATCATTAAACTAGTATGGTTTAAATTGGGTATTAAACTTGAGATTTTGATATAAAGGTATTATATTGTTAGGCTAAGTTTAATAACTTAGTCTAACAATTTCTAAGATAACGTAACGACCTTTGGCTCAAGATTATTAAACTAGTATGGTTTAAATTGGGTATTAAACTTGAGATTTTGATATAAAGATATTAAACTAGCTTAACAAGCTCCCTCAACTCTAGATAATATCTTTTTCTGTAGGATTTCCTTTTAAAAACTCTTTTTCAAAACTTGAATTGGTTTTAAAAGCTTTCAAAGCTTTTAAAACCAATTCACTAGCTTTTAAAACCAATTCACTAGCTATTAAAACCAATTCATTCAGCTTTGAAAGCTTTTAAAAGCTTTCAAAGCTTTCAAGCTTTAAAATAGTTTAATTTCAAAGCTATTTTGCAATTAAGCTTCAAAATTTTGCTAATCTATTCCTTTCAATTTAGGTTTCTTTGAGCTTTTCTAAAAACTGACTAGGAATTTCAAAGAGATAAGAAAATTTTCGGTGTACTTTGGGGTTTGCCGTGTAGAAACACATACTTTCTTGTACAGCACAACTTTTTTCTGAAAGAAACGATTAAGAAACAGAACACAAGAGAAAAGTAAATCAAAAAGAAAACCTTTTGACACTTCCTTTTCAGAAATAAACTCTAGTTTTTGGCATTTTTTTACAGACTTTTCAACTCAATTCCTCTCAAAATACTCTTCATTCCCAGGCTTCTTCGTTCCCAGCTCTTTTTTCCTTATTTTATTCTTTTCCTGTCTCAGTCAGCTTGTTCCTTGTTTAGAAAAAGGATTGATAAATAACTGAGAGAAAAGTAAGCGCATTTTTTTTTGTTAAAGAAGTGAAAAGAGAAGTGTTTCTAGGGCTATTCAATTAGAGAAAGGAAAGAAAAGAAAACTTTAAGACTCTCATAAGAAAACTCTCTAACAAAACCACTAAATGAGGATAAAAATATGAGAAAAGCTTTGTCTTAGTTTCTTCAGATCTTTTTCTTATTGATTGAAACTTAAATTTCTCATATCTTTTGCTATATTTATATGTCAGCATTGTGAAGTCAACGCTTTTAGCTTTCAACCAAATTTAAGCAAGCTTTAAGCAAACCCTAAGCCAACTTTAAGCCAACTTTTAGAATTTTCCAAGTATTCAAAATCAAATCCTAACAATTATTTAAACAGCGACAAATATTTTTTTAAGCTTTAGTTGCTCAAAATCCAAAGCATTGCCAACTTTTGACTCCACTTTTGACTTTTGATTGAAAACTTCAAAAAGCTCTAGATTTTAAGCAAACTTGCAACTATAGACTCAGGCTTCATTTAAATCGAATTATGAATCATTTGAATCTCAGGTTAATTCAGAATTAAGTGCAAGTTTTGAGCTTTAAAGATCATTCAAGTCATTCAAGTTTTCTTCAGCAAACCAGTTTCCATTTGTATTCTAGTTTTGATTAGCTCGATTCAAATACATAAAATAATGCTGACAATGAGTTTATGATTTAAATATAGTACTTAAAAAGCTTACTGCTTTACTTTGTGAATGAAATATTCACTTTTGTTTGAACGAGATATGAAAAAGACAGAAAAAAGACAGAAAAGGGTTTATTTTTCGAAAAATTCACCATTCCCTCGAGAATCTAGCCTTTTTAATTAGCATTTTAGTTTCAATTTTAGTTTAAAAAGGATTTAAATTAACATTTTAGTTCAATTTCTGTCTAAAAAGCATTTCAATTAGCATTTTAGTTCTAATTTCGGGTTAAAAATGGTTTCAATTAGCATTTTAGTTTTAATTTTGGTTTAAAACAGTAATAGACAACTCAAGAGCTTCATTTAAATCCAATAATGAATCATTCAATTCAAAAAAAATCAAAATAAGCCTTCATTCAATCATCAAAACGCCAATCATTTCATAATTCTCTGCCTCATTTCCCATTTTTATAGATCTTGATCTTCAAAGATTCTTCAGATTAGACTTTTAAACATTTTCCGGTTCTGATCCTCTTTGATTTGCTCATTTCCTGAAGACTGGCTCATTTGTAGTCAACATTTGGATTAGTTACTCAATCTCGGTTCTTGTTTTTGATTTAGACTGTGAAATTGCCGATTTAGTTAGTTTAAAACTAAATCACTTTTATTTCTCCCAAATTATTGTAGTATTTTCTCCAAAAATTTTCAGTTAAATGCCTGCTGTCCTCTTTTTTCCCTAAAAAATCCATCAAATCCTCCAGGGGATTCAGCTTTGCGCTGAGTTCTCAACTTTATCGCCGGAAATTCGTTTCTCTTTTTTTTTGCGCAACTTCAATATTGATTTCAATCTCTTTTTCTCTTGGCTAAAAGATTTTGAATAATGTTTGCTGAAGGATGTTCTTCATGATGCAGAAGAAAGCCCCACAAGTGGTGGCCACATCGCCTGTAAAACGATCGAGACCGAGACGTTTGTTGACGAGCTGTAGACAAACTGATAAGATCACCCCGTGGAGATGTGAGAAATTGGGGAAACACAAGTTTTTGTCTTTAGCTAAATTATCTTTTCCTATTTTAATATTGCAAATTGCGTATTTTCAATGTTTTAACCAGCGTTGATCCAAATAAAAAAGCCAAACAAAAAGTTCAATGTTTTAACCATCCAAATAATTTGCCAGGTTCTAGCCTGGCTTTCAGCTTTGTCTTTAACATCTTTAAACCCACCTTTAGAATAGATTAAATTAATTGAAATAGATTTCTTTAAGCTTTGAACCGGAACTGAGCTTACATCTGTCCCTATAGAGTGCTGAAAAGTTCTATCCCCTCTCAAAGAATCATTTGTACTGCTCAAAGCAAAGAAATTAGAGAAAAACCGACTCGAAATTTGAAATCTTTGACTATTTTTATGCTAGAAATGCTTTTTTATAACAAGATTTTTGATTTGAAAATCCATTTTTTTTGGCTGACCCTTCTGGCTTCTTTGACATTCTACCTCTTTTAAGCCAAAAATTTTAACGCTGCTTAAAAATGGCGACTTCTTAACCAATCTGACCATAAAACTGACGGCTAGTTTTACAGCGAAATCTTTCTTTTTTCTAATATTTAAAAAAATTTAATTTAATTTAATTTAAAAAAAAGTTGCTTTGATTTTAGAATCAATTAACATTAGAGTTAACAATTAACAATTACTGCGACCAAAAAAAAGTAAATGAGATCCGCAAGTAATCGAGCGAAAAAAACAGTTTTTCGAAACAAAAGTTTTTTAAAGAAAAAGCATTTTTAGGGAAAAACATAGTCAAAGATTTCAAATTTGATGTCCTTTTTTGTTTATTTGATTTGATTTTTTCTAAAGAAACGATCTTTGGGGAGAGGAAATAACTTAATGGAACCGTATTAGATCAAAATAGGAAGCGTATTGGAACCGTATGGAATCGTATTAGATCAAAATAGGAACTGTATTGGAACCGTATTGGTACCGTTTTATAGATCACGCATTTTATAGATTTGCGGAGCTGAGCTAGGTTTCTGGCCGAAGCTGCTCTGACTCATAGATCCTTGGGTTCGATTGAAAAATTTCTTTCCTCTACTGTAGAAGTAAAAGCTAAAAAGTTGAGATTTTGGGTAAAACTTGATCCGTAGGTCATGGAAAACTCTTGACATTGGAAAAATTGAAAATGACATTGGAAATTCTCTATACATCAATGTGCCAATGTTAAGACGTCTATTAGTCCGTAATTTGAATGTGTCAGATAAAAATAATCTTTAAAAATAGATTTAAAACATGAATAGATTTTGACTAATCTTATACTTTCAGCCTGTGTCACCTTCTACCCGCAATCGGGCGTTGGGATCAACCAGACAGCCGTCCCAGCCACAGTCACTCAACAGAATGGTTTCCTCTCGAGTCCGAGTCGAAAATTTGAGGCCACAAATGGGAAATTGGCACAAAAGTCGCAGCCAGCAAGCGAGAGGGGATATGAGACTTTATGTGAGTGTTGGAAATTCTTGAAAATGAAATGCTAAAGCTGTAAAATCAAATCGAAAAAGCTCTAGGTTGTGGTTATTTTTAAATAAGCCAATTGAGTCTAATGTCTAAAAGATCTAGATAATATTTAATACAAAAATGATTTCAAGATGATTTCTTAAAAAGACAAAGTTTCATTTTCAAACTTGGTACACTAGACACTAGACATGGGCACTACAAACTACAAAAATGACGAACTGTTACACTACAAACACTTCTAACTTGTCTCAAATCTACCGGATTGATATGATCTATAGCTCAAAAAATAGAGAATTTCAAGAGCTTTCGAATGGATTAAAGTACGTCCAAAAAGAGCAATTCAAAAGAAAGTTACAATGGTTTGTAATCGCCCAGACCGTACTTGCGCGTAGTTGAAGCGATCGAGTCAGACTACAAGCCATTGTAACCACATTAACCTTTAGCTTCTTCTTTAGCATCTTCTTTAAGTGTGCCCGCTTCCGAATGAACTAAAGTTCGGATTCGGAAGCTCTTTCAATTCTCTATTTTTTGAGCTATAGATCATATAAACCCAGCAGATTTGAGATAAGTTAGAAGCGTTTATAATGTGACAGTTCGTCATTTTTATCGTTTATAGTGCCCAGTCTCTACCGTAGACTTAATCAGCAACATTGTCTGGTTTTAGATTATCCATAACCATCTGCTTTTGCTCAATAGTATTTTTTGTTCCTTCACTAGTAGTCTCCAATACTCAAGAATTCCCGATTGACTCTAGATAGATTCTTAGGCTAATCTAGTCTGCAGCGGAAACATGTGGGGAAAAGGAAAAGTGGAAAAAAATGAAAGAGTGGGGGGAAATAAAAACAAAGAGGACTCAATATTCGGGTGAGGGGTAAGGCCAAGGCCAAAAAGGGCCCAGGGCCTAGGGTCCAGGCGCGTCTTATCCCCTTTCCCAGCTTTTTTCTCTGTGGGTTATTTCTTATTCACCACACCACCATTACCGGTCACTTTCATCCTTTTCTCGTTCTTTTACTCGTCTCTTTCTTCTTTGGCCTTAAAAAAACTCAAGCCTCACTTCAGCCTTCTCCTTGCAATACACCCATCAGTGTATCAGATTGCTCAGCACGGCTTTTCCTTTCAATCAGCTTCTCCAGTGTACAATTATTCTGGATATCAGATCGGGATTCTAGAGCTGAGATCTATTTGAGTATAAAATAAAGCTAAGTTTCTATAGATTCCAGTTATCTATAAAGCTAACTTTCTATAGAATCAAGTTATCTATAAAGCTAACTTTGTATAGATTCCAGTTATCTATAAAGTTAACTTTGTATAGATTCTAGTTATCTATAAAGCTAACTTTCTATAGAACCAAGTTATCTATAAAAGCAAATCTATCAGCTATAGATTTAAAGAAAATGCTCATTCTTTCAGCACTTTAAATACTGAACTTTAAATTTAATTGTTTAAAGTTTAACTAAAACATTGATATCATTTTTTATCTAGAAGTTAGCTCAAAGTTCACTTATTAATTGCAGTTTACAGCTAATCTTATAAACGCATTTAACTTTTACCCTTTCTGACCTCTGTAGATTACTTTTGAATAATCTATTCCTACTTTTGAATCATCTATTTGAAAGATCGAGTGTCTGATACTTCATTTATTCTGTAAATGATCAATTGAGGTTAACGGCTAACTATAGTAATCTATTAGTTTCGATTCAAACACCATTTTATTCGGACAATCTCTAACAATTGTCCTCGAACAATCTCTTATTCCGAAGATCCCATCGTTGTTCCTCAAAAAAGTTGATGCGAAAACGAGATGGATTATCGAATCTATCGAAGCGGTGTGAATGTCACTCGTTTTTCCACATAAATTAATTCTCATTCTTCTTTTCAGCCCGTGCCCCACCGCCGGCGATGAGAAAACTGCAGCACAATTCGTATTCGATAGAGGATGTCGAGGGACTCCCAGAACCCCCGTCTTATTCAATAGCAATGCAGAGGTAAGTCTAGTTATTGATTTTTTAAAAATTAACTTTCTCAACTTTATTATCTTTTCATCCGAGTGCAAGCTCTTTTCGTTTATTTCAGTACAAAGTACAGACTAGAAGCTATTGGGTTGGTGAATTGAAAACTGCGGGCTATTGTCATATGTGACAGTTTGAGTTGCTGGATAGCAAAACGACCGATCAAATACAGTGAACAGTTGGGAAAGGTGAATGAATCCCTGAAGAAGAATAGGCCCTCCAGGTCAAAGATCGTTCTCATCCACGACAGCGCGCGCCCTCATGTTGCAAAACTGACTCGCTCTAAAATAAATAGCCTTGTTTGGGAACTTTTGGCGCATTCCCCATATAGTCCGAACCTCGCCCCTTTTGATTACTATTTATTCCGGATCATGAGCAATGAGCTTCGAGGAGAACACTTCGATTCGGAAGAAGCAGTCAAAAATTGGCTTTGAAAGTTTTTCGATTCAAAACCAAAATCCTACTACTAGGAATCCGCAAATTGCCTGTAAAATGGGCAGAAGTCATCAATAATAATGGAAACTATTTGGAATGAATTGATGGTTTTATGTTCAATAAATTTTAGTTCAAAGTCCGGCAGTTTTCAATCCAATACTTGCTAAACTAGTCTTGCGATCAGAGTTCTATAAAACAGAATCTTGCTTTTTGAAGTTGATTTTAGAAGGAAAATTGAAGAAATATTATAGAAAATCTATCAAATTATCTATTGCAAACACGAATCTTTTCAGATTAAGGCAGCTACAGCAACCGTGGAACCCAAGGCCCAGCTCGTCGTCGCCATTACATGGTGAGTAGAATAAAAGCTGTAAATCGTTGACAAAATTGCTCGAAATGGTAAATGCTAAGAAGATATTTATGCAATGCAGTTACTCTATATCAATACGATAATATAATGAGGTATTTAGGTCGACCAACTCTTGCCCAATCGACCTCAGTCGGTCCATCGCCACCGATTCCGCACATCACACAACCCTCCGTCAGCACCTACAATAGCCCAGTGCTCGGCACAAAGATCAGCGCTCAATTGAGTCAACCAAGGTTTATTACATTTCCACAATCAATCAAAATTCTGAACTTTTTCTTGTTCTTGTTCTTGTTCTTCAAGATTCTAAAGACTCAGGATTCTTTTAAAGAAAGGTTTTCAGAGAATCGATTCGAGACACAGTGATTCGACACTCTGTGGAGAATAGCTTAAACAATCGCTTTCGAAATCGATCCGCCAGTCTCCCCCGTGGCACTCATCTATCAGATTATGAGGCGTACAATGATTTTCTTCCATCAACCGCTGGTCGGATGTACGATTTGCAATCGGTATCTAATTTTTTGGTTAAACAAGATGCAAATAATAAGGCTGAAACGGGAAATAGAATTAGAAATGAATAGAAATGAAATAGAACACTGGAGAATTAAAAGAATAATGTTTTTATGTACTTAAAAACAACTTTAGTTCAACCGTTTCCCACCAACCGAGCAAATGGCGGGCAGTCTCGACAATTTGCACATAAACACATCATTCGGCGGAGAGATGGAAACGGATTTAGCGGGACGGAGAAGACTTCCAGCGACACCGATTGGACTCATTCAACAACAAATGACAACGGATGCTGTGGAGTTGATCGATCCGATTGGGAGACAACCGGCATACTCGAGGCAAAGGTTTGTTCGATTTTTACTGAATCTTGCAAATTTTTCTTGCGCTTGAAGCATGAAAAGCGCAGGCAAAATTAGCAAAACTCAACATTTGATCAGCATTTGATGGAAATTGATTTGATTTGATTTGATTTTATTTGATTTGATGGAATTGATGATGATCAACATTTGATGGAAAACTCAACACGCAATCGCTTGATCAATTTCAATTGTTATAACTGAATAAGATATTCAGCCAAGCGCTGTAATAACAAATTTTATTTCTTTACGTTATATTGACACTCGCTAGTTGAACTTTTCAGTTTTTTATTATTTCTGGGGGTGGGACAAATGCGACCTTTTTTTGCGCACCTTTTTTTGCTGGAAAAGGCTTTAGGAAAAGTCGTAGAGCTTCAAAAACGTTTCCATAGAAGGGAATCGTATGCGTAGATTCCGAATTTCGACAAATCAGACCTCGCTGACACGTCAAATTTGGGCTAAAAGGCAAAAACTACGCAACTTAACGCTTTTCCGCAGTTTTTGCCTTTTAACCCAAATTTGACGTGTCAGCGAGATCTGATTTGTCGAAATTCGGAATCTACGCATACGATTCCCTTCTATGGAAACGTTTTTGAAGCTCTACGGCCTTGCCTAAGGCCTTTTCCAGCAAAAAAAAGGTGCGCAAATGTCCAGGTGCGCAAAAAAAGGTCGCATTTGTTCCACCCCCGTTTTTTGTTATTTCTGGCAAAAGTTCGCGTTTATATGTAATTTTGAATTTGATTTTTTTACTTTGAACTTTTTACTTAAAATGACCGGCTATTTGGTTTACAACCTGCATCATCTGTAGCTCCTCTGGGATAATAGAAATCTACTAATAGTGAGATTTCATCGTGCTAGTAAAGCTTTCTGCTAATCTAGCTGTTTCTGATAATCAAAGTGATTATTATAAACTTAGTAGTTACCGTAAGTACTGTAATAGTACCCCACCCCCATAATGACGGCGGGGAGTGTTGCGTAGTCTGGCTTTAAACGGGTTTTTCTCGACACTGGTTTATGCTGCAATGCGTCTTTGGTATCAAAAAATAGCTGAAATTCAGGGCTATTTTTTGAGACCTAAACGCGCATTGTAGCATAAACCAGTGTCGAGAAAAACTCGTTCAAAGCTAGACTACGCAACGCTCCGCGCCGTCATTATGGGGGTGGGATACTATTACTTTATTTACGGTTAGCTATTTATTCCATAATTTCTCGCAGCCTCTGGAAACAGAAAAATAAAATACCGTAAATACTTTAATAGAACGTCACCCCCATAATGACGGGCGTACAATCGCGTAGTCTACCTTTGAACGTCCCGTTCTCGGCGCTGGTTTATGCTACAGTATTCGTTTCGGTGTCAAATGACAGCCCTTAAATAGCCCTGAATTTCAGCTATTTTTTGATACCTAAACGCGCATTGTAGCATAAACCAGTGTCGAGAAAAACTCGTTCAAAGCTAGACTACGCAACACTCCGCACCGTCATTATGGGGGTGTGGTAATTACAGCATTTACGGTAAGTATAAGCTTTGATTTTAAAAAGGACATAAAAATTCTTTAAAGCGGTGCATAACTTTTTAGGTTTTGGCAAAAAGCTAGCATTATTTGCCTCAAAAAATGCTTACGGGGAAATAGGAGCTAATCTTTGTCGATTCTTGCCTTTCCCCCACCTCTGAAACCACTTGAAAGCCAGTCTCTCTCGAGCTTGAGAAAAAAAATAAAGACTAACTCAAAACACCTTGCTCTAACAGCTAGACTGTCTATTTCTATTTATTGTTATTCTCAATGTTTAGACGTTGTCGACGAATGGGCGAAATGACGGGAAGACGATCGGCAAGTGTCGGGAGATATGACGATTCGCCTACTCTTCCGTTCACCGATTACGATTTTGTGTAAGTTTATTAAAGTTATTGATTTGTTGCTTGGTATAGATGTGATAAACATATAGAAGTTATGCAAATATAATGATTTTAATGTAAATTCTTTCAGCGGTGGCGTCGAACAAGCAGTGCGAGCCCAGCTGGTCGCCTTGGATCACCGAGGTTTCCGGACGGTTCTCGTGGAAAAGATTCAGCCTGGTCCTTTCGGCTTCTACATTGCCACCGGGATGCTCAATGGGCAAAGAGGTAATAAAAGTGGTCATTGTTGTTTGGAGGCTTGTTTTAGTTGCTTGTTTTCGTATTCATCTAATGAAAATCCAACTTTGAGCTCAAATTTCTTGGTGTTGTGCTGTCCAATTTCAATATTCTTAATATCATTGGATGTGCCTTTCTCTGTCAATCGGTACAAAAACTATTTAAATTGGACAGCCCAAAGCTAAGATAGTTGAGCTCAAAGTTCGATTGTCAATGGCAAAAGGTCTCCCAATCGCCCCGCCCCCTTTGCCCTTAGCAATCTAACTTTGAGCTGAAGTTTCTTGGTGTTGGGCTGTTCAATTTAAATATTCTTGACATCATTCGATGCGTCAAGTCTTTCTCTGTCGATTGGTACAAAAACTATTTAAATTGGACAGCTCAACACCAAGATATTTGAGCTCAAAGTTGGATTGCCAATGGCAAAAGGACGGAGCGTGTATCAAATGTCCCATAATCCAAATATTTGGGATCAATTTTGCTCCAAATTCTAATCCTGCTAAATCTCGCACTGATTCAATTCTGATCTGATCTGACTTTTGTCTACCGTTGTTGAGGTGTCTTCGAAAGCCCCCTTTAACAAAATAAACCCAAGTAGTCAAAAAATAGAAACCAACGCCAAAATAGTCATAAATAATTTTAGCATTAAAAGCTTTTCCCTTCTAAACGATCCAAATTTCAGGTATTTTCATCTCGCGTGTCTCGATCGCTTCTCTTTCCCCTGTGCTCTCAGTTGGTGATGAGATTCTCTATGTCGATGATGAGCTGGTGAAAGGACGAACGCTGGAATACGTACAGACGATGATCGCCGGAAAGACCCAAGTCGTCATTGTCACTCTTCCATCGGTTGGACCGGCTTTGTGCTAATTGAATCGATCTCTTTATGCTTTCACTCGTTGCTAAAAAAACTGCCTCAAATTTCTGCTTTGCGTGAATTTCGAAATTCTATCCCACGATTTACCCCCAAACATTTACCGGTGACTGAATTCACTTTCAAGAGTTGTATGATTTGGAGAGGAATGAAATAGTGATTGGAGAACTTGATGGTTATGCACTAAGTGTCTGATTAATTGTAGAAGTGCCCAAGTACGACACATTGTTAAATCTATAGTTGATTTTATTTCCATTTGGTAGCAGTTTTCTCTGCAAGATGTAACGAAAAGGTTCAGACGTCAAGACTGAATATCTTTTGTTTTGTGATTGCGTCATTTCATTCCGATGAAGAGATGGGTTAGCCATTGATAGACAATCAGCCCAAAGAGATGTCTGATCTTGATCTTGATCTTGGGCTTGATCTTGATCTTGATTTGGATCTTGGTCTTGATCTTGGTCTTGATCTTGATCTGGATCTTGGTCTTGGTCTTGATCTTGATCTTGATCTGGATCTTGGTCTTGAGCTTGATCTTGATCTGGATCTTGATCTGGATCTTGATCTTGATCTTGATTTTGATTTCTTAGCTTCTATTTAATTGTAAGCATTGATAAAACCTTAATATTAGATTAGCCGATAACTTTATTATAATATTAAATAGTATTAAGAACTGTAAAGCTTTCATATTTCGTATGCCAAGATAAAAATGAATCAAATCAAATGAATCAAAATGAACACAATATACAGTACCGGACAATGAAATATAATATTTGAAAAACGATCGTCACTTTCGCGCGTCTGTAACTCCCTTGTCTTTGAGTTTAAACTATTAGTGTTATACATTTTCTGAAAGCTCTTTTCAGGGGCTACACAATGGTAATATTAATATTTAGAAATACGGTAAAGACAAGGGAGTTACAGGCGCGCGAAATTGACGGTCGTTTTTCAAAGATGATATTTCATTGTCCAGTAGTGTATCTCAAGCTGTAAAAGACTCAAAAAAGTGCTACTAGTTGGATACTTTTACCCAAGCATACTGTAATTAGACAAATTAAGATTTTACAGTATTTTTGGCTATATGATTAACTTAATGAACATGAAAAAGAAAAGTTCTCTGCTCACCATTTCTCACGGCCTCTCAAAATCCTTTATTAAAGACGGTTATGGTTTTGCTCCTTAAATCACTCGTCCGAAAATTCGAATACCCTGAATTGTGCTCTTTTCTTCTCTCGTTATTTATTTATTTTTCCCTATTCTCATCTGTGATTAGGTTTGTGTGAAAATTTGATTAAATCTATATTGATTTTTGCGATGCTCATGATTTTTTTCTGAAAAATTAACACTTTGGGCCAAAAAAACTCTCGATAAAAAGACACTTATAACAATTTTTGTTTGAATAAAGAATGTTTTTGTAGAAGATGGAAGCAAAAAAAGCAAATAATTAATATATAATATTAAATAAATGAATATTAAACTTTAAATGAAATAAAATATTCAAAAATCATTCAGAGCTCAAGAATTTCTTTTGTTGGGACTGGGACAAATGCTACCTTTTTTTTGTGCACCCGGACATTTGCGCAGCTTTTTTTCCGCACCTTGCCCATTAGCGCACCGTTTTTCGCGTTTTAAAAAAGCTCTAAAAAGCTAATATTAATCAATTTCTATTCCAAAAGTTCTTTTTCTAGGTAATTTTAGGGCGTAGAATCAAAATTTTGACATATCAGAGCTTGTGGAAACAAACGGACGGAGTTATACAAAGAGAAAAATCGACAATTTTCTGTAATTTGATCTAACCGTTTTGTCTTTCAAATTGGTTCCGCACGCTCTGATACATAGATAGTTTATTCAGGACCTGAGATAAAGTGCGCTAGATTTAAGATTAAAACACATCAATTCATACACATAACACGAAAAGGGCCGATAAAAAGAAACACGATATAATATATGTAAAATGTGGGTAGCACAGATAACGTCAAGGATCCACTAGAGCTTCAAGATCAAGACCATCTACAGGTTTCGAGACTATTGGACTCTCTCAAAACTCTGGGGAGTCGATTCCAAATTCTGGCAGTTCTTATTGGAAAAGAGTTATTAGGTTGATGCATAAGTCTTTTCGTTTTTTCGTACTTCTGTTAAAAAGTAACAAATTCACCAAATAATCTATAGTTTGCTCTATAAAAAAAGTGTTTTTTTGTTCAATTTGCATCTTTTTAAATGAATTTCGGTTCACTTTCAAGCAAATTCGAGAGTGAAAAACGCCTTTTTCGTAAAAATCTATAAAAAACTCTACGGAAAAATTGGCTGAATGAATTTCTCTGAAATTTTGGCGAAATATCAAACGTTTTTTTTCTCTATCTTTTATCTATTGACACGAAGATAGGTTTTCTTTAGCTAAGGTGTCTAAACCGCATCATCGAGTTAGCCCTTTTTGACTACCCGACTTCATACTCTCAAGAAAATCCAGGCATTAAATATTTTTAAACCCGTTTTAATGTTATTTTGCAGAAAAATAATTGGTTTTTCTAATGAAATCAACCGTAGTTTAATTCGTGCATTTGTTGGCTTGAAACGGCAGACGAAAAGGAACAAAAACACTTATGCATCAACCTATTATAAACAAACTTATTGGAGATGACTGGAATTTCTAAAACGAAAGAACCTCTCCTTGAATATGTCAAAATTTGAATTCGACACCCTCAAATTACCTAGAAAAACAACATTTGGAATAGAAATTGGTTAATATTAGCTTTTTAGAGCTTTTTTAAAACGCGAAAAACGGTGCGCTAATGGGCAAGGTGCGGAAAAAAAGGGCGCATTTGTCCCACTCCCCTTTTGTTTAAAATGCACTAAAATATTGAAAGATGAGATTCAAAGATATTCAAGGATAAAGATGATACATAGATTCAATATATTCAAAGATAATACAGAATTCAAGACTGTTAGCTTATAGTCAGGTTTGAGACACTTTTAAAGCTTAATTTCAAAAGGATTACAAAAAAAGTGAGCTTTTCATTCAATCTGCTCAAATTCTAAATGATTAAACAAAATCAAAACTGGATCAAAATGTAACTTGTAGATTTAAAGGTAAATATTTTGTCTCAATAATATTGAGAAAATTACAAAGCAGTAACAAAATATGATTACACATGTCAAGAGTTAGGATTTGGAATGCTGAGTGACTTGCTTGTACATGTAGTACATAGTACATTCAGTCATGCACGTAGTACATATGGATGTAGTGCATGTATGAATGAAATGAACAGTAATGAATAGTACAGGTTTTTTACTATGTTTATGTTCTTATATGCTGATGCGTATGTTCTTGTTCTTGTTCTTGTTCCTGTTCTTGTTCTTGTTCTTGTTCTACTTCTTGTTCTTGTTCTTGTTCCTGTTCCTGTTCCTGTTCGTGTTCCTGTTACTGTTCTTGTTCTTGTTCCCGTTCCCGTTCCCGTTCCTGTTCCTGTTCCTGTTCGTGTTCCTGTTCCTGTTCTTGTTCTTGTTCCCGTTCCTGTTCTTGTTAAAAACACTAAATACCGTATTCTCTCTAATAATAGTGCACTCTTTAATAGTAGTGCACTCTCTAATAGTATTGCGGTCCGAGAGGGGGTTGAAAAAATAGTAGTGCACCCACGAAAATTTGAATTTCTGGTGCTTCTTTTTCATCTAAACCTTTTTGACTTTATGTTTATGTGACATTCTAAAGCTATTCAAGCTATTCAAGCTGAAGCTATTCAAGCAAGCAAAAGCGAGGCTTTTTTTATTCATTTATTAACTATTCTTCACATGAAAAAGTTAGCAAAAAAATCTAAAATTGTTGTGCAAAGGGCAAAAACATCTTTTTGTTGTTTGTCAAGACACAAATTGTCAACTCGCCGGCCCACAACTGTATGTCAAAAGGAGCCAAAGGAGCACGTGAAAGAGTTGCAAGAATTTTTGGAACAAATCTTATATCTGTCTTACTTTGGTAATTGATAAAACTCTTTAATAGTGGTGCACTCTCTAATAGTATTGCGGTCCAGGAGGGGGTTGAAAAAATAGTAGTGCGCACTACTATTAGAGAAAATACGGTAATCACTAAAGATCACTAAAGATTTCGAAATCCTCGATTTCATCGGATTGAAGGGGATAATTTCCTTCTTTTCTTTTCTTTTCTTTTCTTCACCGACAGAGATTGTCCTCATTCTTTGTGGCTTTTAGGGATTGTGAAATTTGAAAGAAAAGAATAAAAGGGAAAAGAGAAATGGAGAGAGACCGTGGCTCTCTGCTCAACAGAGGTCGTTGTTGTAAAAATTATTGACCACATTCTCCTGTGAGCAATCTTGCAAATTGAGACTCAAAATCTTGCATATAAAATAGAATTCTTAACTTTATTTGGCTCAACTTAACAACTTATCAAGCTTTAATGTCTTTGTTTTTTAAATGAAAAGATTTAAGTGTCAAATTCTTTACAAAATTTTTAAAATAAAGTAAAATATCCTTTAAATCTACATTTTTCACCAATCAAACTTTAGTTTTTCCTTGAATTTCATCTTTTTTCTTTTTTTCTCTCTACCTTGTTCAAATTCAAATTTCAAAACTTTAAATCGAGCTATTGAAATGTGTTTTCAATAGCTTCATTTAAAATCTTTTCGATTGAACGCTGAATAAATCAGTTCAGGCTTTAAAAAAAGATATTTCTTGAAATTTAATGTACACTGAAACCGATATTATATCTAAAATCTATTCAATTTATTCAATCTATTCACTTTTTTCTTTTCCTTATCCATTGCCAACCTTGGGTGTATCGATTTCGGAACACCCGCGAGAGAGTGAAGGTGAAATTTGTTTGCCCAGTTGTTGATGGATGGATGTGTGCGGCAAAAAAACGGCCACGGCTGAAACACACGCCAGAAATAAGCACTCATGTCGATTTTCTTCAATCAACACTCGTAACTTTGATGAGATTTCACAACAATTACGATTTGCTTGAAATTCAGAAGATCTATTCTTTTCGAAGTGCTAAGTTTATTTTTAAAACCCTTAAGGTGGTTTTGAGTAATCCTTTGATTGATTTAAGTTGATTTTGAGTAATCCTCAGCAGATCTAGAGGTCAAGAATGAGAGCTAACTTTTCCAAGCTAACCTGGCTTTACTAGAGAACTTTACTAGGTCTAACCTGGCTTTACTAGAGCGGTGAGCTTTCGTTTTGTGTCAAAGTGTTTGTGTCCAAGTACACTTTGCTTAGCGTCATTTAATAGATTTTGTCTAGAGATTCTGATTCTCCATACTCGATTTGTTAGACTTTGACTACAGATTCTGATTAATCTAGTAATCCTCAGCAGATCTAGAGGTCAAGAATGAGAGCTAGCTTTTCCAAGCTAAGCCTAACCTGGCTTTACTAGAGAACTTTACTAGGTCTAACCTGGCTTTACTAGAGCGGTGAGCTTTCGTTTTGTGTCAAAGTGTTTGTGTCCAAGTACACTTTGCTAGCGTCATTTAATAGATTTTGTCTAGAGATTCTGATTCTCCATACTCGATTTGTTAGATTTTGACGACAGATTCTGATTCTCTATATTCAATCTAGTAAAGCCAGAACTCTAAACTTATCTGGCTTATTGACTTTTGACTTTTGGATCGTGGATTTTGGATTTTGGATGATTAAATCATACCGGCTTTTAGAAAATCCAATTTGCAATGATTTGCGTATTTCTTCAATTCTCCGTACCTACTTATAGCAATCTCATCAAATTTTTGCAATTAGATAATACGTTTGTCAAGTTCTTTTTTTTTGTTTTATAGTTTTCACGTTTCATCACAAGAAATGTTTAGGCGAGCCGCTTTTTTTTCAGAAAGCCGAAAAAAGACGATTATTTGTGAGCTTTTTCCTCCAATCTCTACCCACGATTCGGCTTTTTTGGGAAAATTTTTTTCGAAAAACAAACATTCCCCGAATGCCGCACACTATTTTTCACGATTTGGCGCTCAATTTTAAAAAGGTTTGTTTGTTATCTCAAATTTCAATTCATTTGACTTGAAGTTAATCTTTTAAGTAGTGTAGAAATGGGTTTGCGGTCAAAATCGACATTTTTGATTCAATTTATTGATTAAGAGATGCGGCAGGTATTGAAAAGAGTGCTCTTTTTGCTCAAAAATAGAAACACAGCGTTTCTGGAGCACTTTCTTTCGTTCTTTCGTTTTCTGTGAGAAGAGCAAAGTGTTGCAGAAAAATAAAGAATCAAATGTGCCAGAAAGGGTGGGTTTTTTATTTCGAGCACAAACTACAGGGTGCGTCATAATTATTGCAACAAGAGTTCAAAGACCGTTTTCCAAACAGCTTTCTTATTTTTTTTGGCCCCCATTTTTCGTTGTGTTGCGTTCTATCTTCTTTATTCTTGCCTAATTGCCTCCCGCTCACACGAAGAAGACGGTTCAGGACTGGTGTGTGGCCAACTTTCCCTCAGTGATCACTAAGGATGAATGGCCTCCAAACTCACCGGATCTCAATCTGATGGACTTTTCCATTTGGGCAATCTTAGAGGCTCTTAATGTCTGCTCTTTGACCTTGAAGAAGTCTTTGACCTTTAAGAAGACCAAAGGATGGAAGGCGATTCCTCAAGATGACATTCGGGCCGCAGTGGAGGCATATCCGAACCGATTAAGGGCTGTTATCAAGGCAAAAGGCGGTCATATCGAATGATCTCTTGTTTCCTTATTTGTTACTGTTAAATAAAGCTATTTCTGTTTAAAAATCTTCTTCCAGTGAAAATTCTTGGTGTGCAATGCCTTGAGTATCTTGTTGCAATAATTATGACGCACCCTGTACATTCATTGTTAGAAAAGGAAAGTACAAGCTTCGGATTTCTAGCAATGATACCATCAAACATTTCTAATTTAAACTTTCAATCCATTCTCAAACTTGATCATAGTCATTATTTCAAATAGTTCAATCTAAAATCTCTGGAAAAGTCCAACACTTAAAAAATCCAACCCTTATCTAAAAATCCAATTCCTTTATAAATTTCCCTTCTAGGATCAACACTGGTCTCAAATCGAAACCCAATTCTATCAGGCATTAACCGCTTTGGAATGGTCTCCAAACGGAAACCACTGTGCTGTTGGTAAACTCGATGGATCCGTTCAAATACTTTGCATTGAAGAGTTAGTTTTTAAAAAGTCTAGGCTTTTACTTAGTTTCCAAGTATTTTCAACGGATCGTCACTCTTTGAAGGCCTATAACTCTATCCAGAGACAATATTATTGCTATCTTTTTATATCATTGTACAGAGAACATTTCAGCCTTTCGAATGATACGAAATAAAGCTTGATTGGGTAATGCAGTCCAAGAAAATCAGAGCCAACTCAGCAAATCAGGCCTATCCAACTCGGGTATCGTGTCTCCTGGTTTGCATGGGAATGTAAAATCCAATCAAGCTTTATTTGGTATCATTTGAAAGCCTAAAATGTTCTCTGTACAATGTTATAAAAAGTAAACAAAAATATAATCTTTGGACAAAGTTATAGGCCTTCAAAGCGTGACGAATCGTTCTAAATTCCAGATTTTTTCAAAATACCCGGAAACTACGTTCAAAATCTAAATTTAAATGATTGTACTAAATGATCTTCAGTTCTTTCGTTCCATGTTGCTCAATTGAGCCATCCACTTCAAAAATCACGAGCGTTTCCTTCAATGAAACATCGGATCTTTTTGCGTCAACATCGATCGATGAGAAATTTGCATTTATCACAGGCTTTAATGTGAGCGATGGGAAATTGAGTAAGTAATTTTGGTATAAAAATTCGACAGGCTTTTGAATTCTTAACGCATTTTGAGTCAGCTTACCATCTTACTTTGGATAAAAATATTATAAGATAGGCTAGGGAAAGAGTAGTAATGGGATTCAACTTATAAGTAACAACATCAACAACAAAATCAACAAAAAGATGAACTAACCCAGTCATACTGTGGGATTTTCATCATCAGAATCTCCCGATTAGATCTTTACAAATAAAGATTTCAGATAAACGATCATCTCGAGTGAAATGCTTGGAGATTCCTCGTTTCGTCTCTTTCATGGAGGATGTGGCAAGGGGTCAGAATATTCTTGTCGCTGGGACACAGAGTGGATTGAAACTCTTCGATGTGGATAGTGAGACAATATTCCGAGAAGTTATGATAAAAGGTGAGTGAATAGAAAAGATACAAAAGCAAAGAAAATCTTAAAAAAGCGTCCAACAAAGACAAAGTTTAGGTGGTGCCACTTCGCTTCGCAGTTGGCATGGCTGCATGTTGGCGGTGGGTGTTGGCGATAAAAGTGTTCAGATTTGGGATGTTCGCGTCAGAGATCCCGTTTGGGTTTATCGACCACAAGGTGCAGCAGGTATTTTGAAAACAAATCCCAATTCACAAACCACAAAACAGTTCGCCCATGTTTTGATGTGGATAATTCGAATCGCGTTTTAATCGTCGCCGATGATAAAGGAGGAGTCACTTCATTAGATCTCGTCGCTCGGAAAGAGATTTCGAAAAAGAAGGTTTATTTTGTATATTTAAATTTTGCAATAAGCAATAGCTGCAAGAAAATTTCGCTAAAGAGAATAAATCGATTTTCATAAAGTACAGGGTGCGCCATAATTATTGCAACAAGATACTCAAGGCATTGCACACCAAGAACTTTCACTGGAAGAAGATTTTTAAACAGAAATAGCTTTATTTAACAGTAACAAATAAGGAAACAAGAGATCATTCGATATGACCGCCTTTTGCCTTGATAACAGCCCTTAATCGGTTCGGATATGCCTCCACTGCGGCCCGAATGTCATCTTGAGGAGTCGCCTTCCATCCTTTGGTCAAAGACCTCTTCAAGGTCAAAGAGCAGACATTAGCCTCTAAGATTGCCCAAATGGAAAAGTCCATCACATTGAGATCCGGTGAGTTTGGAGACCATTCATCCTTAGTGATCACTGAGGGAAAGTTGGCCACACACCAGTCCTGAACCGTCTTCTTCGTGTGAGCGGGAGGCAATTAGGCAGGAATAAAGAAGATAGAACGCAACACAACAAAAAAAGGGGGCAAAAAATAAGAAAGCTGTTTGGAAAACGGTCTTTGGACTCTTGTTGCAATAATTATGACGCACCCTGTAAAATCGATTTTCAGGTAATGTCCAACTCAATTAAAGCGTTGAGGATTAGCTCTATCATGAGATTTCTCGTTTCAACTGACGGAGAAAGGTGAGTACTACTCTGAATTGAAGTTTTCAGTGTTTAATTCATACAAATCAATCAGTCAAACAAACGAATTCGGAAAACTGAAAAAATTCTCTTTTAGCACCTCAATCTCAAACTTCAACGATCCAGTCAACATCGCTTCACATCAACTAGAAAAACCTACGTCAATACTAGGTTTTAGGTAAATTCTGCATCATTGAATCACTAATAAACGATAATAATTCAAATTACAGATGGCATCCAGAAGAGTGCTCTTTCTTGACTCGATCCAGTGACAAAATCCTCAGGATTTGGCAGTACACTCCGAGTCAATCCACCATATGAAAAAGTGCAATAAAATCTTTATTATTATCTTGAAAAGAAAAATTAATTTAGCATTACAAGGAACAGTTAAAAACAAGGTGATCTCTCTAAAAACATCGCCGTTTCACACACAAAAATTCCATGTTTAGCATAAAAATAGAAATAAATAAACATTTTCATATGCCAAAGAATTTCTCGAAGATATTCTTGCCAATCATGGTCGCCATTTGAGTCGTGCCACTAAAAGAGTACGTTAGAGAGACTCTAAGCTGATAAAAAAACAAATTAATACTTTTGAGTTAAAACAGTGGTCTATCCACTACTAGGCTTTACTGTAATCCAGTACCTCAAAAAATACCTAAAGACACGAGCCGTCGAAGCAGTCCGAGAAGTGCTTGAAGCCACCGAATTCGGCGTTGTGGTGTTCATCGAAGACGGAACTTTGGCCATTTTCTTCTCCTAAACCAAAAAATTAATATCAATACATGTATTTAACTAAATATTTTTAATAAGCCATTTCTTACCCGAGCACGTTGCTTCTCCAAATACTCCCTGGCTTTCTTCTCGTACTCATCCAAACGCCACTCCTCAAAAGGCTAAAGACAAAAAACTAAAGTATTTGAAAGAAAATGAACCTTTTCATGTACATCAATCGGTTGTTCTTCAAGTTGTTCATTACGATTCTTCAAATGAATCTAAATGTTTGGATTATTTATCCAAGTCATCACAAAATACCATCATTTCCGGAACTTCTCCATCGTCCCGGAAAGTGGTGGTAATCTTGAAGCCGGCTAGTTCCTTGTTTGAGCACAATTCCCGCACAACAGTGTCCCATGCCTAAATTTAGCGCATAAAGGGTAAACCAAACGATAGCAACGGTTGTATAGTACCTTTTGAAAATCTTGAAAATTGTATGGTTGATCACCGGCTTCGAGATGAATTGCACACTCTTCAAGTTTTGTCCCTTTGGCATTCTTTCGCAAACGACGATCGATTGCTAAAAATAAACTTAAAGCTATAAGAAGATTTTAGATTTTACCTCAAACACGTGGGAAATCACCCAATAGAAAATTTACTGCTCAAATAAAATGTTAAAACCGACCTCGATACATGACAGGCGGAACTTGGTAAATCTTTGGCTCATCATCGTCGAGGTACCTCAAGTCGACTTCTTTCAATTGTTTTGTCTGAGTGCTCTGCGAAGCGTTCTTGGCCTAAACATTAACGTTAATTTAAAAGCGATTTAGCTCATTTTTATTCCTTTAACTGAGAGGAAACGATTACCTTTTCAGCTGATCTCTTGACAATCCGATATTGTGATTGTTGTGGAGATAGAAGCGATTCAAATGAGTAGGATCCCGATGAAACGGTGTAGGTGGACTGCGGATCAGCTGCATATTCCATTACGGGCCCCGATTTACCAAAAGATACCTAAAAAAACGAGTGAGAATGAAAGCTTAAGACAGAAAATTACCAATCCCTCTTGCAACACCAATCCATTGGTGTCAATCGGCAAGTTTTGTGAATAGGTGATAGAAGTGCTCGAGATCGAGACGGCCGTTGGAACTAAACTCAAAATTTTAAGCAAGAAATTCTCCATAACCCTTGTTAACACATGACTTAAAATTTATAGAGTAAAATTTTATTTTTTAAAGTATCTTTCAAAAGTTGTATAATGATGAGGTCTCTAATATATAAACTATCCTTTAAACATCACCATTAAACGCGACACGTTGCTAACCTACCCACGGAAAACATAGCAATTCCCGTAATTATTCTAATAAAAGACGCACAAAAATGAAGCCTCACCCACTCACCTAAGAGCTAAGAAGTCGCACCAAATCGCGAGTTTTGAAGTAAAACCTCTGAAACTTTGCCAAAACATGTACTTTTCCATAGATACAGCTATAGAAACAAACCAAATCGAATTTTCTTCACTTATCGCTGAGAAGACCCAAAACTTTGAAATGATGCATACATTTTTTTAATATTTTCTGAGTTTTCTCAGCAATAAGTGAAGAAAATTAAATTTAGTTTGTTTCTATATCTGTATCTATGGAATGTGCATTTTGTGGCAAAGTTTCAGAGATTTTACTTGAAAATTCGTGATTTGGTGCAACTTTTTAGCTTTTAGGTGAGTGGGCGAATTTTTGTGCGTCTTTTATTAGAATAATTAAAGTATAAAGCTTTCTACTCAAAATGAAGTACCATACTTTGAAAGTGTCTATGCCCTAGCTTTTATTTTTAGTTTTTGTGGAAAAATGTGGAAAACCAAATTCTAAAAATGGAGGGAGCAAAAACCATGAGTTGCAAAGCTCTTTTTCCGTAAAGCTTTACGTTTCTCAAAGTTAAAAGATAAGCTGTTGGATGGGCAAAGACAACACTTTTAAAGCACAAAAATTTAAACACCCACTATTGAGGCTAGTATTCGAAGCGGTGGAGCTTGTGCGAACGAGGGCGTCCGACGAGATCGATTGAGCAGTTGACAGATTTGAGAGCTCCGTTAAAGCGGCTAGTGGCAGATTGCTCCCTAAAAATACAACATTACAGAGTAACAAAAAATGTCGAAAAATTTTATACGTTAACGTTAAAAATATTGAGAACAGCGTAAAAAAGGAACCTTTAGATGAAGCGCTCATGATTGGAATGAAATTTTGAGCAAAAAATGCGTGAAATAAGTTTTTTCAATAAATGCAAATTACCGTTTAAGTGTAAATTGTAATTTAAATGCTATTTTTTCGTTAATCGTTGTTTTTTTAAAAAAAAACTGATCAATATCCTCAACTTCAATAAAAACAAATTCCAAACACCTGTTCACCAAGCTCAGCTGCCTGTTAGAGCTCTCCATTCCAGCCGATTCTAGTTTAAAATTTTGCTGATTTCTTCTCCCATCTCCGATGCATTATACTCGAATGAGTTCGCTTGTCGATTTTTCGCATGAATTTTTGATATTCTCGGCTTTCTTTCTTTTATTCTTTGCTTTTCAGCAATTTTCCTATTGTATAAAGAGGAAATATTTGGATTCAAGTCGGTATTATTGAGTTTTTGTATAAAAGATTAAAGGTACTGTAAATCCTTAATAGTAAGAGTGTCTTATTACAGTACTCCAGCACAAAGACTAGGCCAAGCCAGGTCAGAAGATCAGAGATCAGAGATTAGATAGGATCAGAGGTTTTCGGTACTTGTGGAATATCCGGGGGGTCTTTCAATATCGGGGGGGGTAAAATTTTAAGATCCGGTGGGGTAAAATTTTATATACGTTATACACGACCCCTTTTAAAGATATTCAGCCGCTTAAGTGATTTGGTGGCAAATTCCCTTCAAATGTAAAGATATTCAATTTATTGAGGTTGGTTTTTGAAAGTTTACCCCGGATCTTAAAATTTTACCCCCCGGATATTGAAAGACCCCCCGGATACTCCACAAGTACCAGATTTTCCAATTATAAGATAAACTATTCTTAAATCGAAATTGGTAACGTAAAAAGTACTTTATTGTTCTCTGCACTTCGGGGGCTTCCCAAAATCATTTTTCCAGAACTGAACAAAAGCCGAATTCGCCAATCAACAAAATTCTTCAAAAGAAAATCATTTTTTCAAAAAAATGAAGTATGAAGTAAAAATAACAATTCAAACAATTCATTTTGATAGCCTGAAACATTTTTTCACTTCTTTTCCATATAACAAATCCCAGTCAAGTCACAGATCCATTTCGAATAAATCCGAAGATCCGCACAATAGGTGTGCGAGCTCTGAAAGAGGTAAAATTTAACGATGAAGCATAAAATTACAATGTTTGTGCTGTAATCAGTTACTCCAACAACATAGTGTTTTCCGGTGGCAAAATCTTGCTCAAAATACTCCAATCCCGAGCCAGAATCACCCTGAAATTTCTGGATTCACACTGGTATTTAAAAGTCAACTTTTCTCAGCTATTGAGTTTTTTAAAAGATCTTCTTCAGAAAAAGCTCGTAATGCAAATATTCCCTTTTTTCTGGGAAATGGGAAAGCTATTGTAATCCCATTGCTTTTTTACCCATTCGGTTCCTTGCTTCATGAGTTTAGCCGTAGTACACATGACATCGACATCCTGAAAACTTGAGGGAAAATAAGACAATAAGGAAATTATATAGAAAACAGTTGTAGATTTCAGTTTCTAATTGTGCCCTAAGAAATTGCTTTAAGGTCAGCATACCGGGTTGGTGATAGCACAATCGAACAAGCTAACATCTTTCAGATAATTCAAAACTGCGGCCTTTGTTGCAGGAGATCCATCTAAAAACGGCAATAAGTTTCAATAGGATTTTAAGCACCGAATTCCCGCTTTCCCCATCCCCAATGAATGAAATTTGGTGTGTTTAGTGGAAGGTCCATATCGTGAGCGGGAAGACAGGCAAATTCGATGTGATTATTCTGAAATGGTTCAATAGAATTTTGGGAAAGCCAGTTGAATGTATTAAGTATAAGAAATTGCTTTAAGGTCAGCATACCGGGTTGGTGATAGTTTTTTAGTTTAGTTAGTTTTTTCCTTTGTCTAAAACGCTTATAAACGCGTCAACTGTCAAAAGCTACCATTCTATCAAAGTTCTATCTAATTCATCTACAGGATGTTTCAAAATTATGGAATGGGATTGATCTTTGCCAAATTTTCAAGAAATTTTTATAGATACCTTAAAAATTATTTAACAATCATTGAACATAACAAAAATATAATATTATTTTTCAAAGTGGCCTCTTTTAATTTGAATACATTTTCGTAATTGTTTCGGAAAGTCATCCAAGGCCTTTTTTGACCTCCATCGTCCCAAGCTTTCTCCAAATCCTTCTTTTGGAGACTAAATTAATGTGTAAAGTTTGCAACAAGCTTTGGACTTGATCGACCATATGCTGTAATCCAAAAAATTAAAATCTGGCGAGTTGGATGGCCATTCTTCTGGATTTTGCGCCCTTATGTCAACTGTGATTCGAACCCGTCGCCTTTCGCTTACCAGGTAACTGTGCTAACCATTACACCAGAAAGCATTTGTTCTCCTTTACTCCATAGGGAGTTAAGTTTATCTCAAAAGTTTACCAGTCATTATATTACCAATCAGGAAAATACTTTGCGATCCAATCTTGCGTTTCTCGAGCTTCATGCGATGGAGCTCCGTCCCGCTGAAATACCGGATTATTTCCGAAGTGCTGCTGGATGCTTCCGAACGCTCCAAGGCAAAATTTCTGTTTTCAACATGTTCAGATATTTATCCTTGTTGACTTTGACTCCAGCTGGGATGAGAATCAGAGGTGTCTTCCCGGTAACATCACTTGTTGAGTTTTCTGTTGCCGCGAGATAACACGCCGATCAAGCGGGAGTGGGTCTTTTACCAACTCCTATCGCTTTGATGGTTATGAGTTTGCTCCAACCACTTTTCATCGGTAAAGAGAAACTCACGATGACGATTCGCTCCACGATCCATCTCAAAAGTTTCTTGCAATGTTCCACTCTCTTCTGCTTCATCTGATCGTTTAAGTAATGTTCAATTACATCTTTTCGTGCCTTTATTTCGTGTTTTTCAAAAATTCGATGCACTGTGAAATTCCAATTGCAGCAGTCATCTTTCGGGTGCAATTTTTCTGTGATCTCGGATTTTTTTGGATTCGTTGAAAGATCTTTCGACAATTGATTGGATTGTTGGCAATTTTCTTTTGTTCTGATCGATTTTTCAATTTCCCAGTCTCTTTGTGGCGCTTTGCCTTTGAAACTGTCTGGTGAGGCACGTGGAAAAGCCGCAGAATCTCCATCACCGACATCCTGTGAGAGTCGAACTATGGCTGGTCGCAAATCCAATTGTGATTTCATCCAATCGTGATTTCAAGAGTCAATACAAAAGACTTTAATTTTAATCATAAGTAAGGAAAAGAAAGAGATAAAAGAATAAATGTGTCAAAACAGGATTCATAATTTTGGAGCACCCTGTACTTTTGGGCTGATCCTGTGAGGCTCACAAAAATAGGTAGATTAGATAAAAGCTTACAATTAAGACAAGATTACGGTAGCATTTTTCGGCTGATTCTTCCCATAGGCTAATTCTTCGACGTGTACTTTTGTGCTCAACAAAGCCAGCCCGTATTCTTACCTGTTCAATCGGGTTCTCAAGCTCCAAAAGCGCAATATCTCCTCCATGTCTGTTCCATTCGCCTTTCATGATCTCAACAGTAGCCACCACATTTTTCACCTATAATACTATAGCCATAGGGCTTTTGCATAAGACTTTATTGCATAAGACTAGCACCAATCTATCAGAATATTCACCTATATGTATGACGTGGTATCCTAGCATTAGAGTGTGCTCCTTGTTTGACAGACAATTTGTCAGACAAATTTTCATTGACAACTTTTTTGTCAGACAATTGATCCGATAAACTTCCGACAACGCGTTTTCTAAAAGGTGCGCTTTTTAAGCAAAGCTACAAAGGTCGCGCAAAAAAAATTTGCAAACTTTTCTTAAAATATAGTAATGGATAGTTTTATTTAAAGATTTAGGTTTTTTAGGGCGTGCAATTTTTTTGTGGAATGGTTCTAGTGCAAATGTAGACAATAGGCCTGGTAAATTCGTAAATAATATTATTTTTTAATAGTGTTTCTTAATTTTTCCCGTTTTAAATGTTTTCTTTCATTTTACATAGCATTTAAAAGTTTTTAAGTTTTAGCGAAAGAGTAATAGAGTTAAGGAAAGAGTAATAGAGTTAAGGAAAGGGTAATAGAAAAAAAGAGCGCAAGATTTTAATGATTTAATTTTATTTAAGATTTAATTTTAATTTTAATAAAAAAAATACGAAGCAAAAAAGACAACGGCAATTCATAATCCGACAACCTAATAGATATGTTGTTTTGCAGATGAAAGACAAAAAGTTTGTTGTCCGCGCATCAATGCTGTATGATTTCAAACGAGGTAAAACTGCAGCGGATTGTCATCGAACTATCTGTGCCGCATTTGGAGAGGATTCAATTTCAATCAGCCAGTTTAAACGATTTGCGGACGGAAACGAGTCAAAAGTGTTGACGAGGTGCAAAAATGGCTCGACGATTTCTTCTCATCGAAACCAGCTTCATTCTATTATGACGGACTTCACTCTTTGCTCAGACGATGGAGAAATGTTGTTGATTGTTGTGGAGAATATATCGATTAATAAAGTTCTCTTTTGTTAATTTTGTGATATTTTGAAAATCGTGTCAAAACACGCATTACTTATTGGACAACCTAATACGTTTGCATTTTGAAAAATTTGCTGATGCAAAGCAGGTTACGGTAGCTTATCCTTAGCGCGCGCTTTTTAGAAAACGCGTTGTCTGCAAGGAACCCACTCTACTTAGCAGCAATAGACTAGATTTGATACCTTAGCAATGACTCGTTTCGCTCCAAAATCTCTACATTCCTGTGTTGATTCCACGCATTTCGCTCCGGCTCCCACAAAATAGTTAATCCGATTGAATGTGGTTGAATTGTCACCACGATTGCTGAAATTTTGATGTTTCATTGCTTTTTTGATGTGTCATTGCAAAAAACAATCAGCATGTGTATTAGCGATTAGTATTACCAGACTATTATTGTATTAGCAAATCAAAAGACAAAAGGGGTACGGTAGTTTTAAGCAAAAAACAATCGACTTTAACCAAAAAAGGTTAAAGTCGATCCCTAAACAACCCACGTAACGCAGTGAGCCGCCGTGACGACGTGAATCGGTGAGATCAGCGTACCAGTGCATTTGGTGATCGACTGAAATTTCGGGGAAATTTTTGGCCCATTTGAAACTCTAATATCATGTTTGACATTTAGAAACCAACAACTTCTGGATCATCCATAAAGATTCCGACAGCCCAATGATAATTGGGTGAATTCTCGCTTGACTCTTGTATTCCATCAACAATCATTCGTTTGGCTCTCGTTTTATCTCCACCTTAATTTGTGGATATTCAGATATAAAGATAAATGCCACGCATTTGATAACGAACAGCTATTCCTAAAAATGGATCATTACCATTGCACTTTCAGGCTATGAAATTTAAAACAGAGAATTTGACTCCTCTTCATTCTCCCGCACTTTTGGAAACCAATTAAACTCGAGTCTATGCCCAAAATTTTTGAAAACAATTTTTACCCTAAATTTGGCTCTATTTTTCCTACAAATTCCACATCCTGTTCCACATCAATTCCACATCAATTCCACATTAATTTCTATGACACTTCGTATGCAACTTTGCCACGATCACGAATATGATATTAGAAAATAACGATAATGCTATAGTTTTCGAGAATGCGAGTTAAGGAGCGATTTTTGGTCCGAGCTGGCCTTTAAATATTGATATTCAATTGAAAACTTTCAGTAACATAGAAATGAAAAGATTCAGTTAACCAACTGAATATCTTTCGAAGAATGGCGACAACGTAAAATTAGAGAAGAACGCATTTTTCCAAATTAAAAGGACTAAACTGAATCTTTTTAATTTTATGAAATTGCCGCGAGTATATAATGATATAGCATTTTCTTATATGGTGACCTGGTTGACAAATTTTCTACGCAACTCGCCATAACTTTCTTCTAAGTCGGCCAATCTTTGTGATTTTAGTGTCATTTTGTTGCGCTTGTTGAGATCTACAAAATGACACCAAAATCATAAAGATTGGTTCACTTAGAAGAAAGTTATGGTGAGTTGAAATGACCCAGTTGCGCAAAAAAAATTTGGCGTAAAGTAGCCATCCCCGGTGACCTGAGCCATTAAACAACAATGCATATTTATATGCATTGTACATATGTGGTATCATTGTACAATTTATATTGACGAGTATTAGTTGGTTGTTATGGCATTGGGATAACTGCCGAATTGATATACGTGATCACTTTTAAACTACAAAACTTTTTACACGAATTATTAAAAAGTTGCTAAAGTCTCATTGTTAGAGAAGCAACTGCTTCAACTCTTCTAAATTAATGAAAAATTCAAGCATAACTTTTTATTAAACTCTTTATTTTATTAATTTAACTAAAGAGTTATGTTATGCAATTAAGTTACCGTAAATACTGTAATTGGACCCCACCCCCCTCGTACAGTCGCGTAGTCGCAAAAGTTTTTTAGTATTTCATTTTTTCAAAGCTCCTGTGCTTTCAAAAAATGCGTCTTTAGTATCAAAAAATAGCCCTGAATTTCAGCTATTTTTTGACACCTAAGCGCGCATTGTAGCATTATACGTTCCTAGGTGTAAACGGATGTGGACTAGAATTTGGGTTATGTTAAAGAGAGTGGATCCCTTTTGATATCCCGCCATCTCTAACACCCCGACAACCCAACTCAACTCCTCCAACGTATTAGAGGGGAGTCCCTGTGAAATGACCGACCTGTAGTTGCACTGCAGTTGCATAGACCCGGAAGATACATATCTTTATTTACAGTAATACAATAAGATGAATAGATTAGAAATGAGTGTAAGGGGAAGGAGGGACTCCTAATGAGAGTCTCATTTGTCCTCCTAGGCAATCCTAAGGACCGCCCCTTCTCGACAATAAAAGGGATAAGCACAGAGGAGAACACATTTGCATAAGATTAGACAAAGCATTCAATGATAGCAATAGTAACTAAAATATCAGTTTGGCGCGGAGCTGACATCCGCCCCCTTTTCGTTCCGATGACCGTCCCCGGTCATCTCCATTCTCTCTTCGTTGTCTATTGTATTCATCTCCTCCGGTCGTTGTTTACGTGGCCTTCCTCTTTTTCGTTTTTCTTTCTTTTCTTGGATTTGTTGTTCTTCCTGATCGCTCTCTTGAAATTTCATTTCATTCTGTCTTTCTTCGACAAACTTTTTCACGCGATCAATGTGAACTTCCTGTACTTTCTGGAACTTTCCTCCACGGACAAGTAATTTAGATCCTCGGATTTCTTTGACTTCAAATGGTCCTTCATATTTTGGTTGTAATTTTGATTGTAGTTGCCCAATTTTTATCAACACTTTTTCTCCGACTTCAATTGGCTTTTCAGCTGTTTTGTGCTTTTCATTGTACTGAATTTCATTTCTCTTTTGTGTTTCAGCGAGTTTTTCTCGGGTTATTTTCCAGACATTTGCCAAAGTTGATTCCAAAATTTCTGAGTACGATTCAGGTGAATTGTACCGCCATTTTGGTGTTCCGATGAATTGATCATGGAATTGATTTGGATCTTTTCCAAATATTATCTTATACGGACTTCTTCCATGACTTGCTTGAACGGTGATATTGTAAGCATGTGTCACCCACGGGAGATAAAGATCCCAATGTTCTTCAGGAACTTCTTCTTTGGCAATCATCGTTGAGATCCATTGTTCAATTGTGTGATGAACTCGCTCAATAACACCATTTGTACTGTGTACATATGCAGGTGTGAGCATATGCTCAATTCCTATTGTTTTCATCAATTTTTTCCATGCTTCAGCTGTGAATTGAGATCCTCGATCTGTCACAATCATTTGAATATGTCCAAACACAGAAATAACTCGGTTCACAAAGGTTTTGAAAATGATTTCTGTGGTTTGGGCTGGGATTGCTTCAGTAATCAAAAATTTTGAAAATCCATCAATGATTGAAATGAAAAATCGATTTCCGCTTTCTGTTTCCCGAAAACTTCCGCAAATGTCAATGTGAATGCGTTCAAAAGGAGCTCCGGGAATTGGAAATTTTCCCATTGGAATCTTTGCTAAATGCGCTCCTTGTTTCCGTTTCTGGCACTCTTTACATAGAGCGACTTGATCTTCACATTCCCGTTTCATTCCATTCCACACGAATCGACTCTCAATGAGCTTCATGGTCTTAGGTGCTCCACCATGCGCTCCCAAGTGTTGTCTTTCATGAAAGTATCGGATTATTCGTGTTGTCCACAATGATCCTTCAGGAATCAGAACTCTCGGAGTTTTCAATTTGTTGTGTGGCTTCAAGTAGATCAAGCCATTTTGCACCAAGTAGCGTTCATGCCACTTTTTTGACTCTTTCATGTGCTGAATCTGGGCTTGTGATACCCTCACTCGCAGCTCGAAGGATTTCGTTCATCCATGGACAATCTTCTTGAAGCTTTCGAATTTCCGCTTCTGCAGGTAAGTTTGGGGTCTCTTCCGACACATTCACACTTTCGACTGTGTCCTCATCACCGTCGGCAATATTTCTTGATAGTCCATCAGCTAGATCATTGAGATTTCCTGGCCTATATTCCCATTTGAGATTCATTTCTTCCAATTGAAGTTGATACTTTGCAAGTCTTCCGGTAAGATCACGACGTGTCATCAACGCTTTCAACGGTGAGTGATCGGTTCGAATTGTGATTTCCGATCCCCATAAGTATTGTTTGAAGTTTTCAAGCACCACAGCAATAGCTAAAGCTTCCAATTCGATTGCTGGATAATTTTTCTCGTGCTGATTTAGCTTTCTTGAAAAATAAGCAATTGGGCGCTCTTCGCCATTTTCTTGAACTTGAACTAAAACACCTGCAACAGCTACTCCAGAAGCATCGGTTTCAATGATATATGGTTTTCCGACTTGTGGAGGGGCAAGCACTGGTGCTGAGCACATGGCCTCTTTTAATTGATCAAAAGCTTTTTTGCTGTCTTTTTTCCCAGATGAAATCCACATCTTTCTTCGTGAGATCATTGAGAGCTGCAGCCATTTCAGCGTAATTCTTTATGAATCGTCGATAATAACCTGTAGATCCTAAGAATGATCTAATATCTTTCACTGTTCTTGGCCTTGGCCAATTTCGAAATGCAGATGTTTTTGATTCATCGGTTTTCAAACCGTATTTTGAGATCTTCATTCCAAGATATTTGATTTCCTCGAGTCCGAATTCACATTTATCTAATCGTAGTTTCAATCCATTTTTCTCAAGAGCGTTGAAGACTTCCTGTAGATCTTCCAGATGTTCCTCGAAACTTGGCGAGACGACTGCGATGTCGTCTAAGTAGACCGCACATCGAGCCTTCACGTTTGCCAACACTTCGTTGATCACTCTCTGGAACGTACCCGGGGCCCCACAGAGACCCATTGGCATTCGTTGCCACTCATACAGACCTTCATGTGTCCGAAAAGCGGTTTTCTGAACATCGCTCTTTTTCATCTTGACCTGGTAGAAAGCGCTCATAAGGTCCAGAGTACTGTAGACCTCTCCTCCCGCGAGCTTGTCGACAAGATCGCTAATGTTGGGGAGAATGAACACTTCTTTTCTTGTCATCTGATTCAGCTTTCTATAATCAATAGCAAATCGTATTGAGGTGCCATCCTTTTTCTTCACCAATACAATTGGCGCGCCGAAAGCCGAATGGCTATGTCTCACAAGATCTTGATCCAGAAAATCGGCAACTTGTCTTTCAACCTCGGTTTGTTTCTCTAGCGGGATTCGATAGACTTGAGGAGTTGGTACTGCTTCTTCGTCGATCAAGGGAATTTTGTGTTCAATGGGCCCGTTGTAACAGCCCAATTTCCCATCAGGACCAATGAAAGCAGCCCAATTTTTTATGATCAAATGTCTCAAGTTTTCTTTCTCTCTCGGTGTAAGCTTTGCTTTCTCCAATTTCAGTCTTTGATCGACAAATTTTGGCCATGAGATGTTTTGTGGACGTTCTGGTAAGCGATTTTCATAGTCGACCGCTTTGGAAGGATACAATTTTTCGTTGTATTCCTCGTTGGAAAAAACATGGCAGACTTGATAACAATTTTCATTTAACATTTCGACTTGTGCCACCCGTTGACCTTTTAAAATTCGTATCGTTTGATTTGCAGAATTTGTGAGTTGGACCAAAACTTTGCATCCTTTCTTTACTTTTTGAAGCATTCTGGTAACCGAAACTGCTTTCGTTTTTTCATTGTCCTGTGGTTCAAAATCTTCGACAACAAATTCAACATCTTTTTGCGCACTCACTGGTAGATCAGCTGCTATCATTTTCTGGCTTCTTGGTTGTAGGAACGTTTCTCTATCGGCTTTTGCATGAAACACACATGAACGACCTCGATTGATCTCTGATCGTTTCAACATTCGAACTTTCGTCTCACCAAATTCAACGACATTTTTGACCCAGTCAATTTTCATTGAATACTTTTTGAATGATAGCTCTTGCTGGAGATGCGTGCCAATCATCAAAGGATAAGGACAGTGGCGATCTTCCGAAACTTGAATTGTGTAATTGATATGGATTGAACCGATTGAAATAAGTACTGGCACTTCTCCCAGAAACTCAAATGTGGCCCCTGTTGCTCCTCTTGCAGGACCTTTGCTTGATGGTCTCATTTTCGCAGAATTTCCCAGTAATTTCTTGTACAATCCAATTGGACAATTAGAGCTTGATCCGTAAGAACTGAAGGAATCAGGAGGGATGCTTGTTCAGGGGTAATGTTTGCTCCCACACATTTTCCAACAAACTTTTTAAGCCAGGGCTCAAAAGGAGACGTGACGGCTCCATCATACTCTGGAAGATGGCGTAATACCTCTCCGATGAAAAATTCGCCCATATTTTGTGGTGGGGCTGGGGGTTCTCCCACCAGCGGCTCTTGGACTCTTTCTTCTTGTTCTTCTCTCTCTTCTCTTTCTTCTTCTCTAGCCCTATTCAAATTTTCGATGACTCTTCGAACGCGTTGTAAGTAAATTTCGACGGTTCCCAAGTCCTGAATCTTCTTCCTTCCTCTTTTTTTTTTTTTTTTTTTTTTTTTTGAAAAAAAAACATAAATTTAAATCAAGAAGATAAAGGGAGTAAAATGAGAAAGGTGCAAGGTAAACAAAGTTCAAGTTTTGTTAAACTAGAAGAACGAAATTAGTTGAAAATTGAAGCTATCTAATTGGTAATTATAGGGGTAATTTAATTTCTATTTAATCTTGGTCCCTCGAAAATTGTTTTGAAGCGCTATTCCTTATTGATGGGTTTATTGTTATCTATTTCATTTTCGCGGACCAGCTGTTCGAGATCAAGAATGATATATTGTTTTACAGTTACTTGATTTACAGTTTGAAGCAAAAAGGGTGCTATCATTCCACTTAATGCGGAGGCTTTACAAGATGCGTAGGATACTTGATTTATGGCCTTATTGTTGACCTTCGCATTGTTGACCATCTGTCTAGTTTTCTTAGAGAAGAGGATGAATAAGGAAAAAGGAAAAAGAAGTATTTGGATAAAATTGAATGAGAGCTTTGTGATACGGTACAGAAGAAAATATCAAGTTTTTTTTTTTTTTTTTATATATTATATAAGATTTTAAACCCGTTTTCACAAGAGAAGTAATATGTAAAGTGAACTATAAGGCTTTGGAATTTAAATACTGTTTCCAAAAAGGCAGCCTTCAGACGAAATTTGATTAATGTCTAAGCGTCGAAGGGTGAATTTTACATTTCCTTCGAAAATTGGGTTTTGAGTTTAAAATTTGGAAGGTTGGATTGTAGAAAATTATGATTGAAAGAGAGATAGCATAAATTAAATCTTCCGGGGGGACACTAGGACCTAAGAAAACTTGACCGCCCATCACCAATAGCGAAAAAGTGATGGTATTTCAGATTTCGGGTAATAAAACCGCGACTTTACCTACAGGCGCCTTAGGCTCAGTCTAAAAGCATTAACTATTTAATTTTGATTCAACGGTCGAAGTTTGGTTATATTCATTTTAGATGAAGTTATTATTGGGCCCATAAATTATTACCCTCTGCACGTCATTCTTTTCTTTGCTAAGATTTTGTAAAAATTTAATTTTGATGTTGCTCGGATCCGAACGACGGCTATTACCCTAATAAATTTTTCGCGCAGAGGTTGGACCTAGCGGGTTGGTCACTCCTTTGTTGAGTTTAAGTTGTCTAGTCAGAAATTTGTGGGGACAAAGAATAAAGTGAATAAGCAATAAAGGTAAATATAACAAACAAATTTCTGACCAAGACGTAAGGCTGGTTGTGTTAGAAATGCCGAATTCTAAGGTGGAACCTCCATATACGTTCCTAGGCAATCCTAAGGACCGCCCCTTCTCGACAATAAAAGGGATAAGCACAGAGGAGAACACATTTGCATAAGATTAGACAAAGCATTCAATGATAGCAATAGTAACTAAAATATCAGTTTGGCGCGGAGCTGACAGCATAAACCAGTGTCGAGAAAAACTCGTTCAAAGCTAGACTACGCAACACTCCGCACCATCATTATGGAGGTGGGGTACTATTACAGTATTTACGGTATGTTATTTTATGCTATCTTAGAGTTAGATTATGCAGTTTTTAACAAAAATCCTTACACTTATCTGATAAGAGCTTTTGCGCTTCGGCATCGATTTTTGCAAATCCATCTTCCTTCACTAAAATAAGCTATGGATTTTGGAGAATTAAAAGTTGAAAGTTTTAAAATTTTCAAACTGACAAAAAGTTGGAGTTGATTGGATTTTCAAGGTATCCAAATCGGGTGCAAGATAGCCTAAGGCAAGAGCAAGAAGCTGTGAGAGATGCAAAATGACAAGCATTTGAAATAATCCACAAAAAACGATGACCAAGCAGCCTATATAAAAGGTTCCAATTCCGGTTATTGATATTCAGATAGCGAAGTTTGAGTATTAAATTCGACTCAGAATTTTCCGGATGTGTTCTATTTTGAGGAGAACGCTTGAAACGTTGCTATTCTTGACGTCGAGCGGATTATTTTGATTTTGAATTCAGAGATTCAAAGATTGAAGCTATTTTGGGGCTGACTTTGGGTTTAAAACGGAAAGAAATATCCGGAAATCTGGCCATTTTAGAGGTGTACATTGTTTCCGGAAGTCTAGCTATTTTTGGGGTATAGCCTTTGCTTTTAAATCTTTTAAATCTTTAAATCGTTGGAAAGTTTCCGGCAGCATGCGGGCTCAGGGCGATTCTCACAAAAGCTCAGCCTAATTTCATGGTTTGATTTGAAAAAATCTGGCCCACGAACAGTCTTGACAACAACTGGTTTATTGCATCATTTTTAGCAATTGTCGAAAGATTTTTTTGAAAAACAAATGGGGCGAATAGCCACTAAAGAGTTGCTTTCTGCAAATTAGAAAATTATTGAGGAAATCCAGGCATCTTCATTCTAAATTGCAACCAAAATCATTTGTTGTTTTATAGTTAGTTAGCTGAATACTTTGTGTTTAAAGCGTATATAAGGTAACTGTTTTTCATTTTGCTGGCTCTTCGGTTCTTCTGGGATAGGCTAGTTTCTAGTTTCTAGTTAATTTTTTTTGCGCAACTGGGTCATTTGCGCAACTGGGTCGTTTGCGCAACTCGCCATAACTTTCTTCTAGGTGGGCCAATCTTTATGATTTTGGTTTCATTTTGTTGCACTTATTGTGATCTACAAAATGAAACCAAAATCATAAAGATTGGCTGACTTAGAAGAAAATTATGGTGAGTTGAAATGACCCAGTTGCGCAAACGACCCTGTTGTAAAATGGCGGAAATTAGCCTATCCCGTTCTTCTTTTTCATTTTTGTGCAAAAGATTGTGTCCGTGTTTAGACAAAATTGTTTACTATTCATTGTCACTTTTAATTCAATTGTTGATTTGGGTGAAAATTGGTTAAGTGAGAGCTCAAAATCCCGAGTCAATCGGCTACTTGAATAAAGAATGTGTTTTTAATTCGAGATAGTATGAATCGAGTGAGATCAGATATCTTAAAACAAGAAATAACGTGTTTTGAGTGAAGAGTATCAAGCACGCAATCATATTTCTTTAAATCAAAAGCCAAAAATAGCTTTTCAAAATTGATTTACTTTTCTGTCATATAACAAATTGCAGTTAAATCGCAAATCCATTTCACATAAATGCGAAGATCGGTGCTGTACGACTCTTCGATCTGAAGTGAACAAATGAACAAAAAGATCGAATGAACAAAAAGATATAACATTTGGAATAATACGATTTGATGCAGCTAAGTACAGTATTCTGATTTTAAGCATTGCGCTCAAGTCGGCAACGGTCGGGGATAAGTGGTCCGCTCAAGCGCCATCCATTTTCAGGGCTAGTTGATTCGGCAGGTGAGTTGTTACACACTCCTTAGCGGGTACCGACTTCCATGTCCTGCTGTCTATATCAACTCCTGCTGTCTATATCAACTAACGCCTTTCATGGGGTCTCATGAGTGAACACTTAGGCACTTTAACCCGACGTTTGGTTCATCCCACAGCGCCAGTTCTGCTAGTCTGCTAGTCAAGCAAAAATGGCCCACTAGGAGCTCTCATTCAGGGTCACAGTTCACTGAAGAAACTGCAACATCATACCCATTGAAAGTTTGAGAATAGGTTGAGGGCATTTCGCCCCCAATTCCTCTAATCATTCGCTTTACCGAATATAACTGATACAAACTCCTGCTATCCTGAGTAACCAAAGATACGGCACAAAGCTATAAACTAACGCTTTTAAGCACCCTCTTTGACTTATAATTAGATCTTCTACAATTTTAGTTATTAAAAACTAATCACTCCATAGGTGTACGATGAAATTCCGACAATATAGTGTTTTCCGTTAGCAAAATCTCCTTCAAAGTACTCCAATCCTGAACCGGAATCACCCTGAAATTTGTTTTAACTTTTGAATCACTGCATAGTTGAATTACTAAACGAATCAAGAGCTTAATCAAGAGCTTAGAGCTTACGTTTCCAATTCCTTGATCGGCTCGACTCGCTGATGAACATAAAACATCTCTATCGCGCTGAAATCTTGAATTCCTTAATGTTGCTGACGACTCACAACACGATCATTAACCATCGAACAATTGAACAAGCTCACTCCTTTCAAAAAGTTTAGTTTTGCAGGACCGGTATCATTGTCTGAATTTATGGTGGACAGAATATAAAATGAACATGAATTCACTAGTTCTGCCCCATCCCCAATGAACAAAGTTTTGTTTTTCGTATGGAAGATCGAGATTCGGTGAAGGAAGACAAGCAAAATCGATGTGATCACTCTTGAATGTAACTATTAGCTTGATTTTGATCATATTTTAGTTCTATGTTTAGTTTTAAGTTTAATTTTGGTATAATCAGGCCTCCAAAATTTATTTCTAAGTAAAAGACTAACATTTGTACTTAAAATTTTGCTAATGTTGTTCTACTTTTCTATTTTGTTAAAGTTGTTCTACTAAAGTTTTTCTACTAAAGTTGTTCTACAAAACTTACCTCAAAAATAGCAGTATCTAGAAGTAGAATGATAAGATCGGCACCCTTTCGTCGATCGCTTAAACGCTCGTTTGGTATGACAGCATTTTTCACCTAATTCTCACCTATTACAATCACTTTTTTCTTTTCAAAAATCTACCTTTGCAATCACTCTCTTTGCTCCAACTTTTGCGCACTCTTCGACTTCTTTCACACATTTTGCGCCAGCTGCCACGTAGAAAGAAGAAAGATCCCAGCTGATCCCTTCACTAAATATTCATTACTAAAAATAAAACAAATTCAACAACTAGCGATATAATAGTTTATATTGAAATACTTATAAATCGAAATATTAGTTCAAATCACAAACACAAAGCAGTGAGCGGCAGAAAGCACATGAATCGGTGAGATGAGAGTGCCAGTACAGTGGAGATTACCCTAAACACTTCATTGTCATCATTGGGCATTCAGTTTATTTACTGATACTTTTTAGACACTTATATACCGTATTTTCTCTAATAGTAGGCACCCTGAGCGTCGCCTAAATGCCTCGAAATCTCGACAACCGCTTATCAGAACCTAACGATGTGGGGTTGGAAAATGTAGCTGACGATGCGATCTAGTGGGGGATTAGAGTGTTGAGCTTCTGTGAAAGCTTGGAAACCGTAAAATAGTCATCAACTCGGCTCGGCGCGGTGCACTACTATTAGAGAAAATACGGTATACTTTATTCGGTAAATGAATAAGCCTACCAGCAAAATTTTCACAGAATAGAAAAGAGGGAAAATAATAATGACAATAAAGAGATTTAGAGCGCAAACTCAAAGCGGATGGAATGAGAAACTACCATAAACTAGCCTCACGATAGGAATTTCAATACGAAAAATAGCAATTATTGTGCTAGACAAGACATTGACCGTTTAGAAACGGGGAGAGATGATAAATTTCATTGACATGATTACTCGACTGGGTATTCAATTTATTTATTGATACCTTTTAGGCACTTACATGAACCGGATCATCTTTAAAAATCGCAACCGCCCAGTGAAAGTTTGCGGACGATTCATCAACCTCGGCTTCTCCATTGATGATACGTTTTGATCTGGAAGGAAAGCCTAGAAAAGAAATTTTGGGCGTCATGCTGAGAATATTTGTAGCTTAAAACTAAACTGCTTAAACTTAAAACTAATTATCTTTGGAAAACTTAGCACATTTTTCAGAGCAACTCTCAAAACCAAAAGCGAGCCAGGTAGAGTTGAGCTGGATGAACTGGATTAGCCAGATGATGCTAGCGAGATGCTAGCGAAAGCGCCGCGTTTTTTGGCGCTAGAATCCTTTGCACCAATTTCATTTTCCCCACATTTCATTTGTACCAAATTTACACTTATGAAAATCATTGTAAAGATCACTTTTTCCCAACTTCTAACCAACTTCTAACCAACTTTTTTCAGTTTTCTGCTTCACAATTTTAATTCACATTGTTTTGCTGATACAAAACACATTTAAACACCTATACAGACTTCAATACCTATACAGACTTCAAAACAGTCATTTTTGTGTCCCTGATTGGGCTTTTTGGCTCTTTATATCAATTTTATGTCATTTTCAGATCCGTCAAAGTAGCGAGTATCGTCGAAAAGAAAAAGTAGTAAAAAAATAAAAAATAAACAATCAAAGTTGGTAGGAAAGTGTGTTGAAAAGCACAAATTTGGGGAAAATGATACAAAAGAATTGGCGGTGCAAAAAATAGGCGCTTTTCCTAGCACCTCCCAGAAACAGGGGTATTCCAAACCCCAAATTTTCCAGGCCAGAAACCAGGATCGGTTAAAATGGTTGAAACATCTCTGGCTTTAGCCTGACCCGGTCTGCTTATAGGCTTCGAACTCACATTTTCGTTTCAACATCCCTTGAGCAGTTGAATCGATTTTTGTCAATTCTCTATCTTTCACTGAATCAAATTCATGGCACTCTATTCAAGTAAACTTACAAAATTTTGGTGTCAGATCAATGGTGACTTCTCGTGGTTTAAAAGTTGAACAGAGACAAAGAATTGTTGAAAAAATTGCGATCAAGAGCATTTGATTTGAGTGATTTTACAAGTTTTTCATAAAAGAGACTATGAAAATAGCTTTTGATTGAAAAGGAGATGCACAAAGCAAATGGGAAAATTGAAAGTGGGAAAGCTTTCATGCGATGTGCGATTCATTTTGATTCACTTGCAGTGAATCAGTGCCGCGGAATCACAGAAACTTTTCCACTATATGGTGGAGAATATTTTGAAAAATAGGCCATGTTGTAGTGGTGAAATTGGCTAGTTGTCTGGCTAGTTGTCTCTGGCTTGAAAGTGGGAAAGCTTCTGGCTAGTTGTCTTTGTCTGGCTAGTTGTCTTTGTCTATTTCAGGTTAAACTCACAGTGACGAGGTGTTCTTTGTGCGCGTGCATAATCGCCCTCCATCTGGCACACCGCTCCGATAGATAGTCCTCCTCTCCCCCAATTCCCTATCGCTACTGGCTTCTGGCTAGGACCAAAGTGTAGTTCTTACCATCCGCCTCGCTAAAGCCCACAAGTCATCGCCAACCATTGAAGTGCGCCTCAATCAGCAAGTGCCCGGCCTCAACGATGTTGTTCGATCCAATCTTGGGCTGATTGACCTCGAAGCCAAGGGGATCTCTATCAGTGACTTCATCATCCCCGTCGAGAACCGTGTGGCGGCCTTTATCAGCAAGTGCCCGGCCCAACGATGTTGTTCGATCCAACCTCGGGCTGATTGACCCCGAAGCCAAGGGGATCTCTATCAGTGACTTCATCACCCCGTCGAGAACCGGTGGCGGCCTTTATCAGCAAGTGCCCGGCCTCAACGATGTTGTTCGATCCAATCTTGGGCTGATTGACCTCGAAGCCAAGGGGATCTCTATCAGTGACTTCATCATCCCCGTCGAGAACCGTGTGGCGGCCTTTATCAGCAAGTGCCCGGCCTCAACGATGTTGTTCGATCCAACCTTGGGCTGATTGACCCCGAAGCCAAGGGGATCTCTATCAGTGACTTCATCATCCCCGTCGAGAACTGTGTGGCGGCCTTTATCAGCAAGTGCCCGGCCTCAACGATGTTGTTCGATCCAACCTTGGGCTGATTGACCTCGAAGCCAAGGGGATCTCTATCAGTGACTTCATCATCCCAATCGAGAACTGTGTGGCCGTCTTTATCATTGCTCGTCAAGAAAAGCAACGCAAGTACGACCACGTGGCTGCCCACTTCCGCTCACTCGGCTCACTCGGCTACGATGTCTTCCTGGACGCCTTGGTTGTCGACTTGTTCCTACTTAAAACCCTACTTAAGCATTCGCTGAATAAACTAAATCTTTTCTTATCGGCTTAATCTCCGGTACGAGTCCCATTGAACTCCTCGAGATTAATCAATTTTTGCAACAAGTCGAAGCGTACTTCTCGCCGTACAGCGTCGGTCCGCTATTGCACTGACTGGCGGGATCGGCGCACACCCCAGTAATGGGGGCAACAAAGAAGAAAGAGAAGACTATTTTCAATTTCAAAAATGAAACTTTCCTTTTGTTTAGAAATGATTTCTAGATGAATGCTAAACACTTTTTGATCATCAAGATCTATGTCTTTTCTTATTTTTTTTTCTGCTATCACTTTACTGTTTATAGTTAAGATCCAAGTAATAACTTTTAGTTTCAATCCTATAAAATCGATGTCCATCCGCACAGTGACGATGAATTGGTTTAATTGAATGGAGGAGCTTTGTTGAAAGGTTTGTAAGTAAGATTGAAGTTAATATACACTTTGTTGGGCTGACGATCGGGTTGGAATCTAATCTTGAAACGCAAATTCTTGCTCTTGTGGTACAGATTCGTTTTTATAAGGATACTAGATTCTAGATTTTTTCTAGGGCTAGATTCTAGCGCTTGTAATTTTTTTGGTAGTTCCAGGGACTTTTGTGGGCCAAGACTGGTCTGCAGTACAATCAACCAGACCAGGTTAGGCAATGCAAGCCTGGACCTGAATTCTGGCCCAGCATTTCGGGCCTATCTTTGTCCCAGAAGAACTGCCTCTGAAACGACTCAGTGTTTTCGGATTCCAAAGAATTGATCAATCCAGGATTTTTTCAATTTTAGTCAAAGGTTTTATACAAAGTGCAAATTAAACAAAAAAAACATTGTTTTCGCTGTCTAAATTACACCATCCATTTGCCCATTTAGCAATACTTGAGGAGCTCAACTTTCACAAGGATTTCAATAAAAAGAAGATGACTCCGCTTTTCTCGTCGGTGATCATTCTGGAGTTGTGGTAAAGCGAGAAAGGGGAAAATTATGTGAAGGCTAGATTTTGAAACACTTTTTGATATGCAAAGCTGACTTTGGTTCTTATCATTTAGCTTTACTATCGCCGAGGTCCGAAGGGTGATGCGAGAAAGTTCAAAGATTGGACACGAGAGATGAGGGGATGAAATGGAGCACGAAGTGTTCATTGGGTCAGTGTCCATTGGGTCAGAATTGAACAAACTTCCCCACCCTCCTGATAGGCCCAGCTAGATCAAACCAGAAGAAGCCAGGGGCATTGCGATAAAAAGTTTTCCAGTCAACAACCAGGAATATTTTAGTCAAGTTCTAAGATCTGTAAATCTAGTCAGGTAAAGGCAAAAGCTAGATCGAAGTCTGGTCTGAACTGGTGAAAAATCGGTTTTGGCTTTGACTTCGACTACTTCCAGTCGCATAAGACAATACATTCAAGCATAAACAACAGGAATGAAGCCAGGCTAGTACACCAAATCAGATCAGACTTCCGGTTTTCCGTTCCTAGATTAATTTTCCATGCTGATTACAATTTTTCTTATTGTCAGAACCTTTCTTCAAGTTTTAAAATCTTTTTTTTCAATTTATTTCAGGTTTTAGAAGATTTCGTGGCGGTTTTTCAACTATTTGCCTAACTAATGATGAGTTGTGTCGGAAAAGGAATAAAAGAACAGAAAGGAAAGGAAAAGAAAGGAAAAGAACAGAAATAAAATCAACTGTACTCTTATGAACTCTAATTCAATCGAATTTTCTGTATAAATATGCGAATTAACTGAAAGAACTTAAAGGACACACAGTAATTGCATTAATCCTTGCAATCTTTGCAATTCTAAACGAAACTCATTCGAAAGTCATTGGCCAAACGAAACGCCCAAGTCCACATGATTCCAAATTACATCCAGAAGCCGGGATTCAAAAAGAAAAGAAAGAGAATGCATCCAAAATACAAAATACGTGGTTAATTTTATGATTTCTTGCTTTAAAAATCGATTTCATCATTATATTTTCTTTTATTAATTCAAATTTTGGGTTTTTTTATACCTTTCAAATGATATTTTTTTTCCTTCATCAAATCAAAATGTCAATATGTTTGGGAGAGAAGAATTTACACAATTATATACCAAAAACCCAGCTATTTTTAATAGAAAAATAGAAGCAATAGCTTTAATTCGCTACGGGTTTGCTAAAAAACTTGCTAAACTCTAACAAAAATAGAAGAAATCGCTTTAATTGGCTCCAATTTCACTGTATTTTTGATCAATTGCTAAAAACTCTAAAAAAAATAGAAGAAACAGCTCTAATCAATGCCAATTTTTGCCTTAAATTTGGTCTTTTTACGAAAAAACCTTTTTTCTACAATTCTGCATATTACTTAATTGAGAAAAGAATATTTCTCAATTCCAACAAGTCCCCCATTTCATTTCCCCAATTCTGCAGAAAAATTTCACAGTTCTTTTCTTCTTTTCCCAGCACAGGATTCAACGTTCAAAGCGCGAAAAGCGGTCGATTTGTCAGCGACAGATCACAGCAAGAATTCTCTGATAACGTATCGTTTTTTGGCTGAGAATTGAGGCGGACGTGGGGGACTTGTCGTCGATTTTTCCCTCAATCCTTTCTTTTGCGTGACTCGTTATCGCTTAAGCCGTGAATTTTGTGAAATTTCCCGAGTCTGCAGAATGGAAGAGTTAAGAAAGAGAAAAAAAAGCAAGAAAATGCTTCATATACTTCGTGTATTTTTCTAAACAGTGAGTTGGGAAATCAAATAAACAATTGAAGGATTTTAGTCGATTTAGTGTAGATTTCAGACTGGGTTTTTGCAAAGTAGATAATATTTTTGAAAAAAGTAAAAGATAGAATGATTTAAGATGATTCGTAGTAAGATGATTAGCGATCAAGAACAAAAACCTTTTCGTTTCGTTTCCAGAAATCCAGGGAATCGTTCGCGGGACTTGTTCCTGGTGAACTGGCTTGATCGCGACGGTTTGAACCGGGTAAAAGTCGTAACAAGGGACCGGTAGGTGAACCTGCCGGTGGATCAATACTGTAAACGCCTCGCGTCACAGTGTGCTACGACACTTATAAGCAGCTAGAAACGCCCGACCGCTACTGTCGCGGCAACGGAAACCGTTGGTGTCTACGCCTTGCGGAGAATACTCGTCAACGGTCGAGTTGATACTCTCATAGACCTGGTCTTGTTCGTCATCGTCGACGACAGGGAAGACTTAATGACCGTGCTACTCAAATTTGTCAAAGCTGGCCCTCTTACAAGTCCATAGATTAGTTCACTATTAGATTCAACGTATTAGACGTGTTTCTCTCAAGTAAAAGTCACTAATTTTAGAAAACTACCGTAAGAAAACTGTCAGTTTTCGTTCGCCAAAGTCTACAAAGTCTAGCAGCGTAACAAAGTCTTGTTTGTTCTGGTAGTTTTTTTAAACATAAAGGCTGGAAGTTCATAGTGCTAGCACTAGCGAATGCGAGTGAAAAAAGTGCTAAAGTTGGAATTTTTTTGATGAATACCTAAGCTATTTATTCCATAATTTCTGGCAGCCTCTGGAATCAGAAGAATACCGTAAATACTCTAATAGAACGCCATCCCCATAATGACGGGCGTACAATCGCGTAGTCTAACTTTGAACGTCCCGTTCTCGGTGCTGATTTATGCTACAGTGTGCGCTTGGGTGTCAAATGATAGCCCTTGAAATCTAGTATTTTTTGGTATCAAAAGTGTAGTTGGGAAAAATCTAGGGGCTGAGAAAAAAATGATTTACTAAAAAGAAGTTAAACTGGCGTTCTATTAGAGTATTTACAGTGGTAAATGTTTAAAAATCTTGAAATTCGTTAAACTTTTTGCATTCTAGACAATCTAAAGATTATTTTTCTGTTTAGACATCTCATCTTTAAACTTTCTGAGACATCTTTAAGCTTCTGTTCCAAATTCCCAGTCTCCCAAGTTACAGATTAGACTTGCCAGCACTTTGACTAGTCGTTTATGTTGTTTTGCAGGTTGACTAACCATGCAAAAGTTACCAAAAGCTTATTTTGATAAATTTTTTTAGAAATTCGGCCCCTAAATCTCTTCAAAGCTTTTCAATTCCATCACGTCATGCTAAACAGATTTCACCACATATAAACATCATATTTTTACGATCCCCATGTATTTTCAGGGAAATCCCTCAAAAAAAATTGGGTACAGTTCAGAATTTTGAAAAGAAAAGAGAAAGAGAAAAAGGAAAAAGGAAAAAAAATAAAATCAAAGGTGAATTCTCTTTTTTCTTCTTTCCCCTTTTGCTCTTTTTTGTTTGCAAAATCCAAATTCAAACATGGTGATCATTGAAGCAAAATTGGGGAATCTCTAGATTCTCTAGATCTCTAGATCTCTAGAAAATCTCTAGATTCTCCAGAATCCTTTGATATTTCTTTGGTTCAATCTCTTTTTCTATCTTTGCTAAACTCAAATTTATCTGATCTATCAATTTTTCAAATGTCTCTCTGAAAAAAGAGTTTTTGCCTGAATATCTTTAGCTTTTTTTTGTTCTCTAATTTCTCCGTTAACTGAAAATCTTTTCTTTTATGTTTTCTATGCATTTTTCCGTCAACTGAATCTCTTTTCTTTTTCCAATCTCTCAATTTTCCCATTGCAAAAATTTCGCTCACGAATTTCTCTTCTCTTTCTCTTCTCTTCCTCTTCTCTTTCTCTTCTCTTTCTCTTCTCTTTCTCTTCTCTTTCTCTTCCCTTTCTCTTCCCGATTCTCCTTTCTCTCTCCGTTTTTCAAAAATCTCTTCTTTTTGATCGATTGTCGATGAAAGTTTGCTGTATTAAAACCCAAAATTGGCAAGAAAATTTTTTTGGAAAACGGAAAAATAGGAGAAAAATGATCGTCATCGTTCTCTTGCTCCCCTGAAAAGCGCACCAGATCATGACGTATGACCTAAGCGTTCTCCAGGCTCCGCCCAATCTCCTTTCTCAGATATCTCTCAAAAATCGGCAATATTTCGAAAAAAAAATCATCCGGAAACACCCGAAATATGAAGGAAATGCGAAAATAGATCAAAATGGGATGGGGAGAGACACTTGAACTTTGTTAGATCAAACACACGAATGGAGGAACAGTTCAAGGAAACTTTGATCAGAGGAAATGTCTTGGATTTCAATGAAATTTTATGAATTTGCAAAGCTGAAAGCTGAAAGTGACTTAGAGCTACTTAAAGCTACTTAAAGCTACTTTATCGTACTTTTAGCTTACGAGAAAAGCCAGGATTTGATCTAAAAGCTATAAAAAGCCAAAGAAATCAAAAAAGTTACAGAAATTTTTGAAATCCAGTGAAACTGAGCTTTGTTTTAACCTTTTTAGATATTCTACAAAAATTTAGAGTACTTGGATCATTTGGAAAGTTCAGCAAATTCAAAGTACAGTACTTGTTTAGATTCAAAGTACATTACATTACTCCTACCCATTTATCGCGATCATTTGTTCTGTACTTGAGCTAAACTACGTATTGATCTATGTTTTCAATATCGTTTTCAATATCGTTTTCATTGAGTACAAGTTTTTGCGCCAATTTCCAATTTAGATCCAGGCTTGCATTGCCTGACCTGGTCTGGCTGATTGTACTGCAGTATTGTACTATTGTACTGTACTGCAGACCAGTCTTGGCCCACAAAAGTCCCTGGAATTACCAAAAAAATTACAAGCGCTAGAATCTAGCTGTAGTATCCTTGTATTGGGTTGGTGAATAGATTCAAAGTACATTACATTGCCCCTACCCATTTTCCGCGATCATTTGTTCTGTACTTGAACTAAAACTACGTACTGATCTATGTTTTCAATATCGTTTTCATTGAGTATAAGTTTTTCCGTCATTTTCCAATTCCAGATGAATCCCTCAGCTGATTGTCCCTACGATTTATGGGATGAAACGATCGAGTTCGAGGGGAGATGGCTTCGAACGAAACAAATTCGCTTTCGAGAGAGAAAATCGAAACACGAAGGGGTGAATAAGTTATCGTAGTGATTAAATGAAGTGCTAAAAAGCGAATTATCAAAAAAGTCGCTCAGCATTTCTAGTGCTGATCTTTGGTTCCTTATCTCTTTAAATTTGGTTCCCGATCTCAACAAGTTTGGTTCTAATAATTGGCATCTAATTCTAGTGCAAAAGATGATTCCAATGTAATTTTAGATTAGCCGATAAGTCTCTAGACACTTTTTTATAAGTCTTTTTATAAATTTGTTTAATCAAATTTGATTAAATCAAAAGTTTACCTATTGATTTACGATTTCCTTCAAATAGAAGTGTTTATTGTAGACTTTTCTATCTTTTTTACGCCAATTTGGGCCTATTTTCAAGCAAATCCGATCCCAAAAACTCGTTTTGATTCGAAAATTTGATAAAAGCTGCTAAAGAAGGAATTGGTTGCACAAATTATTCTGAAAATTTGGCTAGAAGCCTAGCTTTTTTTGGCTCATCTTTTTTCTATTATCACCAAAATCGGTTTCTTTGAACCAAAGTGTCTAAATCGTGTAATAGAGTCGTTTTTGACTGGTCGAGTTTACCCCCGAGTTCACACCAGAAAAAAAAATCCAGAAACAAAACATTTCTTAAGATTTCAACGATCTTTTATAGAAAAATATCAGGCCTTTCTAATGGCGCAAAATGTAGATCAATAGGTGAATTGATTACTTCTAAATAGCTTTTAAAAAGGAAGAGTTCAAAGACTTATCGGCCAACTTAATAAATAAATTGTTCTAACCGAGCTTGGGGACTATAAGCCTTGGTCAGAGGCCGAACAGAAGTCAGTCCTTTTAAAAAGCTTTTAAAAACGGAGAGTTGAAAGACTTATCAACCTAATATCAACCAAAAATCAATCTAACTTATCAACCTGCCATTTAGCTTACGGTATGACCAACAAAAATTAGTCAAAAACTAAGCCAAATCCCAGGGTTTGCTTTTGATTATCGAATTGGGAAGACGCTTGGCTGAGATAACGTAAAGCGTGGGCATGGCTAAGATAACGTAAAGCGTGGGCATGGCTAAGATAACGTAAAGCGTTATCCCAATTCCAGTAGTCCAAGTAGTAATCCAAGTTGCTATTACAGTAAAACAAGTCTTAAAGATTACTGTAATAGCAACCAACTTGTAGAGAGAGAGAGATTGAAAGATGCAAATATCTAGAAAGACAAATGATGAAGATAGTTACGATAACTGGGGCACGTTCTAGAGCGACAGTAAGGTGAAGCAGCAAAGCCAGAAGCTCGACTAAGGCCTTATGCAAATTTGAAGCTTATATGAAGCAAATTTGAAGATATTTCTATTGCAAACTATCAAACTCAAACTACATTTGGTAACTTTAACTACTTTAACCTTTAACTTTACTTTAACTACTTTAACCTTTAACTTTACTTTAACTACTTTAACCTTTCATTTCACCCGAATCCATTTCCAGTCAGTCCCCATATTTTGCCTTCTCCCCATTCCATTTCCCCCTTTTCCCCAGAAAAAATCTCTCTTTTTTTATCTTTCATCATTTTGTGCAAAATTTAGGGTTTTTTTTCGATCAAAAGAACAAATTTCCGAATAATTCCTGATCTGGGATCATTTTTAGTCAAAAAAAGAATTCAAAACCAGTTACCGTATTTCTTCGAATAGAAGACCGGGTAAAGAGCATCATCGCGTACCCCTGCGTAGCAGCCCTTTTTAAAATTTCTTTTCTGCATAAAAGCTTTCAATCAAGTGCTATGGAGCTGGAAAATGGCTCAAAAATGTGTTAGCTTATGTGGTATTTTTGAGTCATTTTCCAGCCCTATAGCACTTCATTGAAAGCTTTTATGCAGAAAAGAAATAAACGGGGTACGCGATGATGTCCCGGTCTTCTATTCGAAGAAATACGGTATTTAGCTCAAATCTACTGACAAGGGCATTCACTTGTCATCCAAGTTAGGGCTGACGTTTCATGATAATAACAGGGAATGATACAATAACAGGGAATGATCCGAGCTAGGGCTGACTTTTCAGGAAAAGCTCAGAGTGCAAACATCAATCGGATATGAGCATTCCAAATATCTATTCAATTTTTGTCCAAATTAAAATCCTGGCCAGAAAAAGGATTTGGATTTTCGACCATTTTCGACTTTCGACGAAAAATCGTCCCTAGTTAATAAGACCGTGCCACAGGCTCGCGAGCAAAGGGCAACGGTGGTCTAGAGGATAGTGTGTCGGACCAGAAAACCGACGCCCCTTTCCTCGGTGGGTTCGAGTCCCAGCACCACCAACCTTTTTTGAAAAACACACAAATACCATTTTTAAGGCTATTATAGTTCTTAAGGAAAACTTATTAAACACTAACAAAACAAAAGTCCTTTCTTTGAAATGTATTATTTCTTTAATTTCATTATTATTCATACTTTCCCTTGTGAGAACCATTGGAAATACCTTGTCCTTTGATTATAAGAGCTATAATCCATTTTTATTTATTATATATTATATTGATGATGCAATAATCCACCTGTTTTCTAAAAATGCCTTGAGCATAAAGTTCACTTACCGTAATCCAACGATTTTAGCGGAAAAAACTAAAAACTCTCGACTAATCTTTTTTCCATTTGCGTAAATATGATAAATATATTTGGCAAAAAGTGTTTTTCACTAAAAATTAGTAAATCTAGATTGCTTTTCGAGATTTTTACTCTTATAATATGCGGATAATCTGAATACGGTTGTCTGTTCATCAGTGTAATTGAAAGTGGCCATAAATCGAGGAGAAAAGCCGAAAAACAATATCAACAGAACTTATTTTTGATGCAGGGATTATGGAAAGAAGGCTGAGTAGGCTATGAACAGGATGGCCAGGCTCTAGAATCAGGCTAGAATAAGCCAAGCCAAGAATAAGCCAAGCCAAGCCAAGAATAAGCCAAGCCAAGCCAAGCCAAGAATAAGCCAAGCCAAGCCAAGCCAAGTTTCATTGGAGTCTAACCATCATCCAGATCCAGGGACTTTATGTAGATCAAAACTGTAGTAAACGATGAGCAAGCCAGTTCAGACACCTGATCCAGACTTACCTTCTGGACTCAAGAACTTTATGTGAATCGGATTACATCGGCTTGTGAGCAAGACATTGTAGCTAAAGCTGTAGCTAGACCAAGCCAGACTTGACTGGAAGGCTTGACTGGAAAATTAGCTTCGTCACAGCAAGTGCTCCTGCTCATAGTTCATAAAATACGTATTCTAAAAAGTATTTTGAACACTGATAAAAGATATAGGAAAAGAAAAACATGAAATCTTAGAAGATTTGAGATTAATTGAGATCTTAGAAGATCAATCAATCAGAAGATCAATTCCAGGTTTGGCAATCCTCGCATCGAGTCACAAAGCCGGCAAACTGTGAAGTGGACGGAGTGGATATTCTTGCCGTTTTACACAAAAATGGCCAGAAATTCTTCATTTTCGTGAAACAGTATCGAATCCCGATGAAAGCCTGGTGTTTAGAGTTCCCAGCAGGTATCAGATATTCAATGAAAGTAAAGCTCAATGAGTTAGCTATACAGGCTTTTCAATATTTATGGAAGCCAGCAGATTACTCGATTTAGAGCTCATTTTTTACAATTTTAATGCTAAAAGGAAACACACTGATCAATAAGCCTAACGTTAACAATCAATAAGCTACTTTTTCAAAATTAGTGTTCTTTTGCGCTGGTGCTTACCTACTGGGTTGGTGAATTGAAAACTCTGGGACTTTGAACTAAAATTTATTCAACATACAACCATGAATTCATTTCAAATAATTTCCATTATTATTGACGACTTCTGCCCATTTTACAGGCAATTTGCGGATTCCTCTTTCGTAGTAGGATTTTGGTTTTGAATCGAAAAACTTTCAAAGCCAATTTTTGATTGCTTCTTCCGAATCCGAAGTGTTCTCCCGCAAGCTCACTACTCATGATCCGGAATAAATAGTAATCAAAAGGGGCAAAGTCCGGACTGTATGGGGAATGCGCCAAAAGTTCCCAAACAAGGATATTTATTTTAGAGCGAGTCAGTTTTGCAACATGAGGGCGCGCGTTGCCGTGGAGGAGGACGATCTTTGACTTGAAGGGCCTATTCTTCTTCAGGGATTCATTTACCTTTCCCAACTGTTCACTGTATTTGATTGCATTAACGGTCGTCTTTCTATCCAGCAACTCCCAGTACAACTCCCAGTCCCAGCTTTTTTCCCAACTTTTTATTGGGTTGGTGAATTGAAAACTGCCGGACTTTAAACTAAAATTTATTCAACATAAAACCATGAATTCATTCCAAAGAATTTCCATTATTATTGACGACTTCTGGCCATTTTACGGACAATTTGCGGATTCCTCTTTCGTGGTAGGATTTTGGTTTGTGTGTGAGACAAGTGTGAGACTCAAAAATGGAGGACTGGAGATGTCCCAGTTTGAGCACTTTCTTCAAAAGAAACCCATTTTGGTGTCAATAGAAAAGTTGTAGAGAATCAAAAATTAGGCTTATAGCCAAATTTCCAAAAAGATACACTTAGTAGTTTCGCTTAAAATGCAAGTTTTGTGAAAATTCGTGAATTTGGCATTTCTTGAAAACCAGTTTTTGAACCGTTCTGAAAATTTGGATATAATCTTGATTTTTGATTCTCTACAACTTTTCCATTGACACCAAAATGGGTTTCTTTTGAAGAAAGTGCTCAAAGTATCACATATAACAATAGCCCGCAGTTTTCAATTCACCAACCCAATAGAAACGCTTTTGGAAAGTCGATTGGTGAATAAATTGAGTTTTTCACAAACTTTCTTTAATCTTTCTTCAAAGAATTAAAGCCAAAATATGATTCTAACATTTTTAATGTCAAGTAGATTCAAAAAAACTTAAATAATGAAGACTTTCTCATTGTTAAACAAGAACAACTGAGATCTGATCTTTTTTTTGGTGAAATTTGGTGATTAAGTTTCGATAAATCGACTTCTAGAATATTAAATTCAGTAAACTGTATATATAAGCTAAAAACTCGAGTCTCTTCTAACTTCTATGCAGTGTTTTCTTGACAATTTTTTTTTAAATTTTTTTTTTTTTTAAAAACCAATTTTGATTTGTTAAACGATCCGTGAACTCAAAAGTTCTCATAAATATTGAACAAATATTGGACATTTGTACACAAATGTTCTAATATTAATGTGTTGACGAATTCTAAGTATAAAATCATCTATTTTCAACAATTTGTTTCATTAATTTAGATGATTTCCTGGAGAATTTCAGGGCTAATTGATGAGGGTGAGAGTGTCGAGGCGGCGGCGATTCGCGAAATGAAAGAAGAAACCGGTTACACTGTGACAAAGGTTCTTCAAAGGTATGTAATCCTTAAATGAAAGGATCTAAGGATCATCTTTTACAAATAAAGTTTAAATTAAGAGTTTTCTCTTCTGAAAAGATGAGCGTAATCGGTAAACATTCATCCTATATTGGGTTGGTGAATTGAAAATTGTGGGACTTTGAACTAAAATTTATTCAACATAAAACCATCAATTCATTCCAAATAGTTTCCATTATTATTGACGATTTCTGCCCATTTTACAGGCAATTTGCGGATTCCTCTTTCGTAGTAGGATTTTGGTTTGTGTGTGAGACTCAAAAATGGAGGACTGGAGATGTTAGCTGTCAGCCCAGTTTGAGCACTTTCTTCAAAAGAAACCCATTCTGGTGTCAATAGAAAAGTTGTAGAGAATCAAAAATTAGGCTTATAGCCAAATTTCCAAAAAGATACACTTAGTGGTTGTGTGTTCTATGTGTCCTTTGTGCTGCTACGTAATCGCTCGTCGTCTGGCGCAGGGCTTTTACATAACCCATTCCCATCTACAAACACCCTCTGACCGTTTCCGAATCCTCAAATTGGAGAATGACTTCTCCGCAAATGAAGGCTAATTTCAATTTATTGGATTGGTGAATTGAAAACTGCGGGCTATTGTCATATGTGACAGTTTGAGCACTTTCTTCCAAAGAAACCCATTTTGGTGTCAATGGAAAAGTTGTAGAGAATCGAAAATCAAGCTGATATCCAAATTTTCAGAACGATTCAAAAACTGGGTTTCTTTTGAAGAAAATGCTCAAACGGGGATCTCCAGTCTCCATCTCCAGTCCTCCATTTTTGAGTCTCACACTTGTCTCACACACAAACCAAAATCCTACTACGAAAGAGGGATCCGCAAATTGCCTGTAAAATGGGCAGAAGTCGTCAATAATAATGGAAATTATTTGGAATGAATTGATGGTTTTATGTTGAACAAATTTTAGTTCAAAGTCCCGCAGTTTTCAATTCACCAACCCAATAGATTCAGGGATTTCCTAACCGCTTCGGCAAAGGCAAAAGCTTTTCAAACATGACGAAAACAAAGATAAACTTCCTAGTAAATTTACTTAAATAATTTGAATTTATAATTTACAAAAACTGGCTGAAACTGTACAAAAGAAGGCCACTTTTAGCTTCTCGTAAACTGTGCACGAAAAAGAAAACGAAATCCGGAAAAAGCAGTAATTCTGTACATTCCCCAAAGCTTTCAAATCTATAATACTTTTCTATTTTTACATCGTTTTCTCATTCGTTGATAGGTTAATTCCAAAATGGTTGGACTTGTTGATTCCGAGAGGGGAGAAAACCGAAAAAAGCCACTTGGACGAGTAAAATCAGCACTTGAGATTTTTGAACTCGATTTTAAAAGTTGATGCCTTTTTTCGACATTTCTTCTTTTCAATTTACTTTGATTTGGTACAAAATCGGGATTTGAGATTTTGGGATTTGACCTCAATAGTCTAGACGATGTTTTCAATTGAGAAAATAATAATATTTGTATATAAATTGAAAAGTTTGCCTTTTTCCTTCAATTTAATTTCTCTTCATTTGAAAACATGAATGAACGCGTGATTCTAAGGCGATTTTTTGCGGGGGAGTAAATCGGAAAGGAATTGAAAATAGGGGGAAAAGGAGATCAATCACTTAATGAAGATTAGGAGGAATCGCTAGAGAAAATGGGTCATTTTGAAAAGTTTTGGATACGGTGGTTGAGTGGGAATTCCTGAAAATTGCAAATTTATCAAAGTAAAAGTATTCAGCTTATGAGTCCAGTTTGATAAACAGCAAGAGGAAAAGTGAAGGCTAACTAAGCCAAGGCCAAAGCCAAGGCCAAAGCCAAAGCCAAATCCAAGGCCAAAGCCAAGATCAAAGCCAAAGCCAAAGCCAAGATCAAATCCAAGATCAAATCCAAGGCCAAAGCCAAAGCCAAATCCAAGGCCAAAGCCAAGGCCAAAGCCAAGATCAAAGCCAAAGCCAAAGCCAAGATCAAATCCAAGGCCAAAGCCAAGGCCAAAGCCAAGGCCAAAGCCAAGGCCAAAGCCAAGGCCAAAGCCAAGATCAAAGCCAAAGCCAAAGCCAAGATCAAATCCAAGATCAAACCAAGGCCAAAGCCAAAGCCAAGGCCAAAGCCAAGGCCAAAGCCAAGGCCAAAGCCAAGGCCAAAGCCAAGGCCAAAGCCAAGGCCAAAGCCAAGGCCAAAGCCAAGGCCAAAGCCAAGGCCAAAGCCAAGGCCAAAGCCAAGGCCAAATCCAAGGCCAAAGCCAAGGCCAAAGCCAAGATCAAAGCCAAAGCCAAAGCCAAGATCAAATCCAAGATCAAATCCAAGGCCAAAGCCAAAGCCAAGGCCAAAGCCAAGGCCAAAGCCAAGGCCAAAGCCAAGGCCAAAGCCAAGGCCAAAGCCAAGGCCAAAGCCAAGGCCAAAGCCAAGGCCAAAGCCAAGGCCAAAGCCAAGGCCAAAGCCAAGCCCAAGCCCAAGCCCAAGCCCAAGCCCAAGCCCAAGCCCAAAGCCAAGGTGGTCTTGGCATGGTTCAGCTCCGATAAACATTACATAAAGCTTGCTCGACTTAAATCCGTTTGGCTGAATGCTGAAACATTTCTTGTTTTAAAAAGCACAAAACTTGTCAGCAACTTTATCTTAACTAACAATTTACATTGTATTTCTTAAACGATGTATTGGATTGAGAATATGAAATGGCGCCGATTTTCAAAAACTTCTATAACATCGAGTAGTTTTTCTCAAAAAAACATGGTAATATCATTCGAAAGCTCACTTATTTCTCTACAAAATCTTTGTTTTTACATAAAGTTAAGTTTATGTATAATAAACGAGTCAAACAACGAATGTGACTTTGTCATTTTGACTGTTTACATTTAAGAGCCTATTTAAGAGCCATTTAAGAGCATTCAGAAAACAAAAGCTTTTCAGCATCTTTTAAAAGCCATTTTACAGACTAATAATAGAGCTTTTTGCTTAAAAAAACAATAGATTCTCTGAAGCTTTTATATGTTTCAGAAAAGCTTTTGAAAGTCGGCGTCATTTGCGCTCCATTTGCATACTCCATAACCCAACAATTTCAGATCTGAAGGTGTTCAAGGACTCGATCCGGGTCTCACCGATGATTCGATACAATTCGTGACGGTTGAAGTGGACGGGGATGATCCAAGGAATGCACATCCCGAACAACAACTACAATCCGAAGAGGTGAGCAGAGAGAACAAAGATTTAAAGGCTTTGGCCTTGGCTTTAAAGGCTGAGAGATTTTGAGTTTGTTGAGTCTCAGTTTAGCTATTTATTTAGCCGATTAAGAACCCGAAATCAAAGGTTTGACCAAGTAAATCCAAATTCTAATTAGTAGAATATCTGCAATCGCTTTCGCAATCCCGAAAACTCCCTGGTACAAATTTCCAGCTGAATATCTTTTTTGGTACAATTGAGGCGTTCAGAATTTTTATCAGCTTATCGAGAAAAGAGTAAGCTCTGTTTTCGATAAAGCTCTTTCCAAAAAGAGATTGAACGGAGAGTAAAGGAGAAAAACTTATAGTGCAAAATGCAAAATAAAATGACTACAGAAGATCAATTCAATTTGAAAATTGCAAAAGAATGAATGAGATTTGAAAAACGACGATTTTGGAGATAGAATTATGCAGAAAAAGCGATGTGATTACCGACTTTAAAGCATCCACTGTTTGATACGTCTTCATCGAGATCTTGCCTTCCAAAATAGCCCAAACGGTGTAATCGAGGGGATTAAGATCTGGCGAATTTGATGGCCAAATGGTCTTATCCCAAAAGCCTGGAAACAACTGAGCGCAAACGTTGAGAGTTGAGTGAGCACCATGCGCCGGAGCCCAGTCCTGTTGCAGGGAAAAACCAGCTTGTCCAAAGTGATTTGTTGCCCAATGTTTCAGGGCATCTTTTAATACCAGTTGTTGGTAGTTTTTAGCATTCATCTTGACTTTTCTGTCCAAAAAACAGGCGGTGTCTTGCTTGTAGCACACATATCTCCACACATCATAATCGAAGCTGAAAAATGCTTTCTAACCATCAAATTTGCCGCAAATGTGTTCTTCAGACCCCTTTTGAGAAGTTATCTATGATTTTGGCGGTTGTGCAATGACTGGATAGAAAAAATCTTTTCATCTGTGAAGAGGATCCTCTCAAGTAGGCCAGTCGCCACCAAGCGCACCATCTTCTTTGCTAGACGCTTTCGTTTCTTCTGGGATTTGTCGCTCAAGACGCCAATTTGTAGCTAAAGAACCCTAGTTTCCCTTTAACAATCCTTCCAACGCTTCGAGGGCTAATCTTCAGCTGTTTGCCCATCTTTCGCATCGACCGCAGCTTGTTTTGGCGAATCCGAAAGCGAATTTTGTTGATGTTCGTAGGTGTTACGGCAGTTGGTGGTCGACCACTTCGAGGGCGATCCTTGTTTTTCTTTATCTCCTTGTAGCGTTTAATTGCTTTGTTGACGGTGCTTTTTGGATATTTCGTGATTTTTACAAGCTCCGGGCTATTTTTTCCGCCTTGGTATAATCCGAGAACCACATCGCGTCGTTTTTTGGCGTTCATTCTTACGAATTTTCTCCTAAAAAGAAAATTTTTGTAATAAATCACCTTAATTATACTCGAAAAAAGGGAAAAAAGTATACGAGACACAAAAAAAAGCGTGAGCTAAATTTTCTGCAATGTTTTCATAGCGGCTCCGAACTTTTGCCGCACGCTGTATATCGGGTTGTCCAGTTATGAATGCGCGTTTTTACTATTTTGTAAATTTCTCAAGATATCGAACAGATTTATATGAGTGTTATATATCATTCGAAAGCTGACGATCTCCTCTACATTTTGGAATCAAAAAGTTTTTGAATTCATTCAACTTTTTGGGAAATTGACTGCACAAAGGGAGAGGTCGTTTTCGAAAAAAAAACCCATTTCAGCTGAGCTATTCCTCAAGTTTTGTGGTGTAAAATAACCGCTCAGAAAAGAAAAGAAAAGTAAAGATGCTCTGAAATTGTTATATTTTAAAAAAGTTGTATTGATATATCCTATTGGCCAAACATCAAACGGTTAACTCAATTTGAGCGGAGCCAAAACTTGCTCCAAAGGCACCCTTCCACTTTTTAGCCACCGCTTCTTCTGTGCAGTCAATTTGCCCAAAAGCTGAACAAATTCAAAAACCTTTTATATCAAAATGTAGAGGAGATCTTCAGCTTTCGAATAATACTCATAGATATCTTTTTCTTGATCTTGATCGGTATCTTGAGAAGTTTACAAAATAGTAAAAAACGCGCATTCATAACCCAATAGTTAGGTGCTCATTTGATCGAAAATCTTTCCCCAACAAATAAAAACTCATTTTTCCGAAATTCTTGCCACAAAAGCGACCGGATATCCGGATTTCCCGTAGATCTAAACTAAATCTAAACTATTCCTTTTCACTACAACCGTCACCACAAATCACCACAAAAAGATTCAATGATCAAAGTTTTTTGACGTTTTTGACGTTTCATTAGAATGACAAATTGCAAATTTTCACGTAAAGCTTGCTCATTTTTCAAAGATCGGTAGGAGTTAGAGTAAGACATCACAATTCTTGGCAAACCCGCTTATTTTCCTGTCTCAAACATCTCATCTTGTTCTTTTATTTACCTATATTTCTTCAAATTTCAATAAATACAATGCACTTTTCTAAAATTAATAAAAATAAAACCAAAATCAAAAGCAACAGTTTCCCGGACAAGTTTCCAACAATAAATCAACAATAAATCAACAAAAAACACAAGTTTCCCAGACTTTCAGGACTCAGGACAGGCTAAAGCTCATAAGGAATCGGTTAAAGCTCTTGCGCTTGGTTAAAGCTGGAATTTTGATATTGCAAATTTTGTAGAGCTTGAAAAGACGAATCGAATGATGTAAAAATTAGCTCCTTACGAGCATTGTAAACACACTAAACGGGCTTCAACTTTTGCTATAAAGTAGACATGGCTAACGATATTTTGGAGTTGCTCCCGTTCGGACAGTTATATCGGCGCACTGAAAGTTGCTAATAATCTGAAACTTTTTGAGCAGAAAGCCAATGTTATTAGCTTCATTTTGATATCAAAATTTGGCAAAAACTATTTAAAATTGGACTCAAAAAATCACATTAAACCTTAAAATTACTACAACGAGGCCTCATTAAGTATCGATAACCTTTTTAGGGTCCTTTTTGAAGATTTTTGTTTAATGTTTAGTGTTAAAATGAAGCTGATAAGCTAGGCTTTCTGATAGAAAAGGTTTCGGATTGCTAGTGGTTTTCAATGCGCTGATATGACTGGTCAAACTTGAAGCCTTGAGCCTGAGCTAAGCCTCGTTAAGAAACTGATGACAGCTTAGCTGCCTCGTTAAGAAGTCTTGTCAAGGCATTTTCAAAGGCTTCTTTCGAGTCCCTCGATGGTCTAGTGGTTAGTGCAATGATTTGCCAAGCAAGGGGCAAAGGTTCAACTCCTTTCGAAGCTTTGGTTCAATACATTTTGCTTTTCCAACTTATTCCAAAAAGTTTCTTGTTGTTTTATTGAAATTAAGTGGTTCCTTGTTAGGATAGCCAAATAGGAACTATGAAGGGACTAAATAGCACATAAACAGGAACTAAATAGGAACTATAAAGTAACCAAATAGGAACTATAAAGGAACTATATAGGAGCTTATTCCTATAAGAATCTTAATTCTTATGATCAAGTTAAATCAGAGATTTTAACTTTCAGGCAATTGAGGTGGTGTTAGTTGAGTGCAATCGAGTGTTGGAATGGATGAAAGAGAACGAGAAGAAGATGCACATTGAGGCAATGGTTTACTCATTCGCTATTGGATATGATCTTGGACAAAAGTTCAAAAATCTTTAAACTTTACAGATCAGCTTTCAGATCTCTTTCATTTAAGATAGCTTTAATTTGTGTTTCTATCAAATGAACATCAACAATATTGTCTCTTTTTATCTAAACTCTTCACTTTCATATTTTTATCAAACATTTCTATCATAAATTATCTATAAATAACTTTAAAAAGATCAAAAAATGTGGAATAAAGTTGATTTGATTTCGAATTTAACTGTAATTTGTGTATTCTCGTAGTTTTATAGCTATTGGGTTGGTGAATTGAAAACTGCGGGCTATTGTCACATGTGAAAGTTTGAGCACTTTCTTCAAAAGAAACCCATTTTGGTGTCAATGGAAAAGGTGTAGAGAATCAAAAATCAAGCTTATATCCAAATTTTCAGAACGATTCAAAAACTGGTTTTCAAGAAATGCCAAATTTACGAATTTTCACAAAACTTGCAACAAAACGTGCAAACTACTAAGTGTATCTTTTTGGAAATTTGGCTATAAGCTTGATTTTTGATTCTCTACAACTTTTCTATTGACACCAAAATGGGTTTCTTTTGAAGAAAGTGCTCAAACTGGGACATCTCCAGTCCTCGATTTTTGAGTCTCACACAAAAACCAAAATCCTACTACGAAAGAGGAATCCGCAAATTGCCTGTAAAATGGGCGGAAGTCGTCAATAATCATGGAAATTATTTGGAATCAATTTATGGTTTTATGTTCAATAAATTTTAGTTCAAAGTCCGGCAGTTTTCAATTCACCAACCCAATAAAAAGTTGGCAAAAAGCTGACAAAAAGCTGGGACTGGGAGTTGTACTGGGAGTTGCTGGATAGCAAGACGACCGTTAATGCAATCAAATACAGTGAACAGTTGGGAAAGATGAATGAATCCCTGAAGAAGAATAGGCCCTCCAAGTCAAAGATCGTTCTCCTTCGCGACAACGCGCGTCATCATGTTGCAAAACTGACTCGCTCTAAAATCAATAGCCTTGTTTGGGAACTTTTGGCGCATTCCCCATACAGTCCGGACCTTGCCCCTATCTATTCCGGATCATGAGTAATGAGCTTGCGGGAGAACACTTCGATTCGGAAGAAGCAGTCAAAATTGGCTTTGAAAGTTTTTCGATTCAAAACCAAAATCCTACTACGAAAGAGGAATCCGCAAATTGCCTGTAAAATGGGCAGAAGTCGTCAATAATAATGGAAATTATTTGGAATGAATTTATGGTTTTATGTTCAATAAATTTTAGTTCAAAGTTTCAATTCACCAACCCAATCGCTTTAGTTTGTGTTCCTATCAAGTAAACGTTTGAAATTTCAATAATATTGCCTCCTTTTATCTAAATTCTTCACTTTCCCATTTTCATCAATCATTTCTATCATAAATAATCATTCCTATCTATAAATAACTTTAAGAAGATCAAAAAATGTGGAATAAAGTTGATTTGATTTGAAATTTAACTGTAATCTGTGTATTCTCATAGTTTTATAGCAAATTTTAAACGAAATCCTTCATTTTCTCTTTCAATTTTCTCGTATTTCTTGATTATTTTCGATTTTCAAATAGATATTTATTTCTATTCTTATCTATGGCACAAAAAAAGACAAAAAGACGTGAAGAATATTAAGAAATACAACACTAAAGCTTTCTTTTCAAGCGGGATTTCGAACAAAAGTCCAGGAAAAGTCATGAGAATTTATGAAGAACGAAAAATCAATGAAAAAAATGTTATAGAGGTACATGTTTCGCAAAGAAAAAGCAAAAAAAAGGAAGAAAAAGGAAGAAAAAGGAAGAAAATAGAGAACTTTATACAAGAATGACTAGATTTTCGTGAGAAATTTCGGGAAAACTGATGAAAGTCACAAGAAAGTCGAGTATCTTTTTCTGATTTGGGCAAAAAACATTTGTAAACGTTCACAAACTGGCGTATTCAAATTTCCGTTAAGCAATGTTTTTCCGATGTTTTTATCACAGGTGAACGAGGGGATTTGAGGAAAGGAAAGCTTTCTTTAATTCGTGAACACTTTCATTGGAAGTTGACCGGCTGAAGTGCACATCTGGAAATGGATTTTTCAACAAACACATCTAAAAAGTAAAAATAGACGAATTTTCTTAATTTGTGTCCCATTTTACTCTATCTTGACGGAGTTTTATTATAAAGAAACGTTTATTTATGCGGGCAGAACTTTTCAACCACCTTGTATTTGGACGGGGAGCTAATGGATCAAGTGTAAAGCTAGGAAAAAACTTTTCAACTCAGCAGATGAAACTTGAACCTTTGGAGAAGATTTGGAGAGGATTTGGAGAATTGTGATCAATGTTATCAAGAGCATGTTATCAATTTTATCCTTTAGATATATTTATTCATTTCTAGCTATACTATTGTCAGTATTGATTTGTTTAGAATGCTACATTATCCTAAGTGAGCTGGGATCTTGGTTTAAGACTTGGCTGGGTTAAGCCAAGGCTTTAGATGACTGTAAGCTTATCTATCTATAACTTTATAGCTTTTTTTTTCTATAAATTCTTGAGTCTACTTGTTTAGAGCTTTAATTTGAACTCTCTGGGAGCTAGAATTGTTTTTCCTAGCTTTACACTTGATCCACTAGCTTCCCTTGGAGCTCTTTGATCCCTTGAAAGCTTATAATTGAACTTTTTCAAGTATTTTATACTAAATACCTCATTGATTACTGTATCAGATTCAAGAAAATTCATATTTTTCATCCTTTCTTTTTCAATCTCATGATGGGATTAATTTTGAATGAATGTAAGAATTGAAGAAAATAATTCAAAATCCTCACATCATATTTGTTTAGATTTTTTTAATGTTTTGAGATTCAGGGCAATGAACGTTTTGAAGGGAAAAATGTGAGATTTTTTAGAAACGATTAGAAGCCAAATAAATACTCGGATTTCTCTTGAGCGGATTAATATTCGATCAAATATTATTTGGCTTTAATAATCGGGTTAATCGAGTGTGAAAAGCACGAGGTGTTTCGTTTTTTTAGAAGAAGACAAAGAAGAAAGCAAAGTTCTATTCTGATCAACTCTACTTCACAATTAAGTACTCTTTACAGTCTTACAGTCAACTTAAACCTTAGATAATATAAGAAGAAGACAAAGAAGAAAGCAAAGTCCCATTCTGATCAACTCTACTTTACAATTAAGTACTCTTTACAATCTTACAGTCAACTTAAACCTTAGATAATATAAGAAGAAGTCAAAGAAGAAAGCAAAGTCCCATTCTGATCGGCTCTATCTTTACAATTAAGTACTCTTTACAGTCTTACAGTCAATTTAGACCTTAGATAATATAAGAAGAAGACAAAGAAAAAGCAAAGTCCCATTCTGATCAGCTCTATCTTTACAATTAAGTACTCTTTACAGTCTTACAGTCAATTTAGACCTTAGATAAGATAGCTTTTATATTGTATAATGTTTATATATATGTTTGCATTTCTAAAAACTAACCGGTAATGAGTTTTGGAAGAAATTCATAGGTAAAGTGATCGCTGGGGATTGTGATGGAGAGAGAGCAGCGATTGAAAAGAGTGGATTCGGAAGACTCTTCTGCAAATCAGCCAATGTGGATTGAACCATCAAATTCGCGAAAATGTTGTCCTGAAAACGTGTATTTAGAAATGTTACAGTATACCAGTATACTTATTACCACTCTAGCTCTTATCCACAAGTTGAACAAGCCGGGATTCGAACCCGCGACCTTTCGTTTACGCTCTCGCCTACCAGACGAACAACTCTATCAATGAGCTACACCGACACCAATGCCATTGATGCCAGAGTAGGGCTTTATGCCTTATAAACCACTGACCTTAAACAAGAGCTCCGGTTTTGTCTCAAAGATTGGTGACGCGGGTTGTGGTGGTGGAAGGACGGATGGTGGAGGGGAATTCTCTTTTCTGTCCAATTCACAGAGACCGAAAAGACTGCCGATATGGGGAAGTTCGGTGATGGAATTGGCGACAAGTTGTAGAGATGGGATCACCATCAAAAGCGAGGAGACCCTAGAAAGGTTTATTGAGGTTGAGGTTGACGTTCATTGAGAGTTTAGATCGGTTGGCTCGCTACGAGACTGTGCTCCATTTACCGTATCGACTTAGAATTTCTTCCAGTTACCGTAATCCCTACTCAATTTTCCTAACTACAAGTCAAAGTTGAATAATTGAACTTGGTACTAAAGCGCTACCGTAGATTGTGGGACATTTGATCTGCCATTGGCAATCCGGCTTTGAGCTCAAATATCTTGACTTTGGGTTATCCAATTTAAACACTCTTAGTATCATTAGATGCACCAAGTCTTTCTCTGTCGATTGGTACAAAAAACTGTTTAAATTGGACAGCCCAACACCAAGAAATTTGAGCTCAAAGTTAGATTGCCAATGGCAAAAGAGGCACCAGATGTCCGACAACTTACAACCTTTCGAACCTTTTCCCTACTGTAACCTTAACCCGTTAGCGTAGACTGTTATCGTAACCATAACTCATTACCGTAACCCGCTATCGTACCCTTACTACCTATTACCGTAACCCTTAGCTATTAAACTTCATTTCAAAACCCCCGAACGAATTTCCATTCATTCATTTCCAAATCTCAATCAAAACTTTGATATCAAAGAGCTGATTCATTAAATATCGAATCTATTGAATGCCTTGTATTAAATGATCTTTTTGTACTTGTTCTTTTTGTATCGTATTATATTTGTACTGTATCTTTTTGTTCTCAAGTAGAATGTTCCGGAAAGTTCAATGAAAAAAGGGGAAAATGAAAATTAAAAGAAAACTAGACGATCTTTTTCCATAGAGCTGTACTTTCTTGACTTGTAATAAGTTTTTCTGAATCTTTACATTAATCCTACATCCCATTGCCAAAAATAATCCTCAAAAGCACAAGTTTTTCATAGTTTTCATAGTTTTCATAGTTTTCGTTGGGATCAAGAAAACAAGAACAATTTTCGAGGGAACACAATGGAGGTAATCCGGTGGAAATTAGTGTAAAAAGTGTGTTTTATGGGATTTTTATCCACCCTCGCATCACTCTCAAATCATCGGATTACGGTGAAATGGTTTCTTTTTAGGAATCCTATGATTGCTCATAACGAAATAGAAAACGATTCGGGATTACGGTGGCTTTTTCAGGCTCAGGCTCAGGCTCAGGCTTAGGCTTAGGCATTTAAAACCAAACTAAACTTGTTCTAAAGTAAATTTCAATAGCCGGGAATCATTTTAAAAGGTGAGTAACTCAAAATCGGATCATTTTTTGATAGATAATCTTTTTTTCCCATTAGATTTCTTCAAAGCCGATCGAATTACGGTAATTTTAGTCATTTTTTTAGTCAAATCGAATTGATTTTGAGGGCTAAACTATAAAAAAATCTTTTATAAGTTTTAAAGACAATGATAATGACTCACTTTTTCGTATCTATTAACTAAAATTTTCTCAAATTACGGAATTTTAAGGTGTACGTGCGAGTTTTTCCCTTTTCCCCCGCTCCCCGGCCTTAATTAGATCACTCAATTCTATTTTCTATCTATTCTCATTTTCATTTCTTTCTATTCAATCCAATTCCACCGCATCATTTGATCTCTTCATTCATCAATGAATGGAATTTGAAACAATAAGGTTTAGGAAATAGAAAGTAGAGATTACAAGTGAAATGAGAGAAAAGATGTAATAGATGTAATGAAAGGAGATAAGAAGAATAGGAAGAAAGAAAGAAAGAGAATGGTGGAATAGGTATGATGAAGAATAGGGGAGGGTGGGTAGATGTAATAGATGTAATAGATGTAATAGATGTAATAAAAGATGTAAAGATGGAAATATTGTACCGCACAAACTAATGTAAAACATTTGGTAAAAAAAAGCAAAAAATTTGGCCGCAGGCGGATTCGAACCCTTCACCTCTAGCCCTATATACTAGCTTGCTACCCCCTCGGCCATTGCCCACATCTCTGGACTCTTAATTAAAGCTCTCAATAAGCCATCACGTGAATCTCTCAATTTCCCTTTTGATATTAGATATTACAAATATTGGTTAAAATGCTAGATATTACAAATATTGGTTAAAATGCTATACCTCAAGCTCGCATCCACAGCTGAATGTGTTTGGGAGAGATAGGTGAAGAAAGCTCTCAATAAACCATCGCGTGCATCTCTCAATTTCCCTTTTGTTTCCATTGATACACCGCTCACGTCGGGATTCAACAAGAGGAGAGCCTGGAAATTTGAAAAGTTCAAGAGGTTTAGCTTTTGATTTAGCTTTTGATTTAGCTTTGATTTAGCTTTTGATTTAGCTTTTAAACTTAAACCTTTAAAGCTTTTAGACAAATAAACTTATAGCCATCTAGACTCTAGACTTCTAGACTACTGTAGAAAGCCATCTTATAGATTTTTCGTTTAGGTATTGCTTGGTTGAGTAGTTTGGATTACCGGTAGACCTCTTATAGACTTTTAGAGGTTTTCTCATAGACTGAATACTTGCAGACTACCGTAGAACATTCATCTTAAAGAACTTTACTGCCAGCTTTAACCTACGATACTCGTTTCATTCTATAGACTTTCCAATGGAAGTAATTACCGTAATCTATCCAGTCTATAGTCCCTGAAACAGCCCAGGTTTTCCCCAAATTTCCTATTCCCAAACGGTTTCTTGAATTATTTCAATGAATTATTCAATGAACTTTCGTCTTCATCCAATTTTCACCCAATGCAAGTTCATCGAATTTTCCCGCCAAAACGGGCTAATTACCTAGTCACGTACTCCGGCCGTTTTTTGTCTTCAAAATTGAAATTGAAAGTTCATCGACCTATGAAATTACGCCAAAAATTACTCTTTTTCATTTGCGCGGAATCACATTGCAAATGGGCACGTTTTTCTGTGTTTTCGCTGCTTTTGGCTGTTGTTTTTGACAGCTTTGACACGTGGGAGGGTTTGATTTTGATTTTGCAGAAATGTTTTGAACTAGATTTTAGGCTAAATTCTAATGGATTGGTAGAGTTACCGTAATCTGAATACCATTCAGAGAACTAGATGCTAATCAGTAAGTAAAGTACCGTAGTCTTCGTTTGAAGGCTGAAAACTGGATGTTAATCAATAATGTTAAAGTATCCCGGATTTCAGATTTTCTCAAACAATGAATAAAGCTACCTCAGCCTAGTCAAAGTCTTAATCTGGCTTTTAATCGTTAACAAACTACCGTATCTTTTGCAGAAAATCGATTGTCTAAACTACCGTATCTTTACCGATTACCAGTCTCCTAAACTACCGTACCTTCAAGCAGCAGAACTCGGCTTGCTCTATATGAAGTCTCCGCAATGGCGTCAACAATTCGTCCAAGATGCGAGTGAGTGCCGCAACGAGTTCAGATGGAAGCATTGGTGAAACGGAAAGAACTTGATCGTTTGGTAGGATGAGATGCGGCACAGAGATACTCCTTTGAACGGTGCCAAGAAGGGCAAACGATCCGGAGCAAGCCTTGAGGATGAGGACCTAGAAGAAGAATTTGTCTAGATGACAGTCTATAGGATTTGTACCTTGTCTGGGAAAGGCAACTCTGGGAAAGGATGCAACATATTCGTCCACTGAATCAAGCTGTTCACGGCTCGTTGTCGGCTGTTCTTGGACTCAACATCTTCATGCAATAAAGCATTCATCGATAGGTTTCCTAGAATTTTCAGTTGTTGGCAAGTTTGCTGTAAAGCTGAGTTTACTGTAAAGGCAAGTTTACTGTGTTTTTACAGCGCTGAATACAAACCAATTAATCTGTTCTCAATATCCAACAACATTTCAACAAGTCTTCTTGAAGCTGAAGCTGAAGCCATCTCGATTTTCGGTGACGGAGTCCCCTCAGAATCTGAGTTATTATCCCCATTCAAGCTTCGTTTTCTTCTCTTCGTCGATCCAATCCGATCACGCTCATTTTGAATAGCTAAACTTGAAGATATGTCACCTTTAACTAACAAAGGATTACGGTAATTACGTCTAAGTTTTTTTTTGCAAACCTTCAGGCTTCATTCCGTCAGCTAAACACTTTTGAAATCGGCAATAACGGCAAGCATTTCGGTGATCTTTGTCAATATTGCACTGTTTATTGAAACGGCATGTGTATTGAAGATTTTGCCAGACTCTAAAACAAAAGTTGATGATTAAATCTCTCCAGATTTTGATTCTTTAGTAATTTGTTTAGGGTAATGACTCGTACTCTAGCCACTCAGTCACTCCCTAACCCTGAATCTGGGTAACCCCTGAATCTGGAGTCTAATCATATCATTATCTAATCAAATAGATTCATTGTGTATACGATAATGTAGCCTATATAATCACTACATCTATATTTTGATTTCTTCTAGCTAAGTGTACACTTCGTAGCTTGGTGTTTAGGCAATTCAGGGGTTCTTTAGCCGGATTCACTTCTAAATCTTCTAGATTTTGGCGCTCTTTAGCCAAATTCATTTCTAGATTCGATCAAATTAAGCACACTATATATCCAGATCCCCATTTTTCACTTCCGGAAGTGTACGGAGAGTGCTCTTCGAACTCTGGCCGCTTAGAGGACCCCTATCCCAGCCTTCCCCTCAGCCTCTCCCTCTCTCAAGTGTTCAGCTCCTTGTCCTCAAAAAAAGAAACACGAAAAAGAGAACAGAGACCCGGCTGGCTGCTCTTTTTTCTGCTTTCTTGAATCTCAAAGATCAAATCTTAACGAAAAGCTAAAAGAACGTTTAGCTGTAGAGCAGTTGCTCTGTTCTTCCCAAATATCACTTCCTCATCGCGCTCAAAAATAGAGAAGCTGCAAAGGTAATTGAAGGGTTTTTTGCAAAAAAGAATAAAGTAGTAATTACAGATTCAAGTACAAAGTTCTGGGCAAGTTCTGGTTCTATAAAGTTCCATAAATTGAGTGAGCAATCGTACAAGATTACTTCTAGAAAGTTCGTCTAATCATCGTTTCCTTATAATACCGTACCCTGATCGAAAGATAGTGATCTAATCTATGTTTAGACTGAAATCTACAGTATATAATTTGTTTTATCTACCGTAAAGCTATTGAATCATTAAATTTCTAGTTTATTTAAGCTGTAAAGCTACTAGATTATTAATTTCTAGCTTTCTTAAGCTATTTAATTCAAAAATACTGTAATTGGGTTCCTTTTTAAACTAGTAACTTTTAAACTAGACTTTTAAACTTTTAAACTAACTAGAACCAATAAAAGCTACAGTTTTATTAAACTTTATAGTCTAATTATGCTACCATAGGCTAGATTTCCCTTAAAAGTACCGTAATCGACTTAAACTACGACTTATCCGTAACCCTGAGCTAAACGTACATATTTCCAAGCTGAATTGGGATACTATATCCCCTTAAACCTACAGAATTTCAGCTAAAAACATTGCCAAAACTGTCTACCGTATACTGGCTTTCTAATCTTCAAATCTCTCACCAATTACCCCAAAAAATCAGAGCTCAAACTCTTCAATCCCTCCAAATTCCGGTGTCTCGTTCCAAAAAGTTCATTGACCGTGTTTGCTGAATGAATGAATGAAAAGAGAAAGCTTTTCTGCTTGTTCAGCTTCTCCATTTGAATCCCCCCAACTCTTTCAAATACCCGATCAAAGTCCGCTAGCAAATATCTCATCGACATTTTCTTTTTTCCCACTACTTCTCATGTGACATAGATTTGAGAGTTGGAAAAAAAGCAATTCTCATTCTAAGACCACAGTAATTCGTGTAAACACTAGGAAATTTCGGTTATTTTTGTCTCATCACCACGTCGTCATCAAAAAACGAAAAAACTCACGATCGTCGGAAGAATCCTGAAATTTTAAAAATCAAATTTGATTCAGTAAATGAATACAAAGTGCTTTGGAAATTTGAAAAGTTAAAAATTAGCTGCAAAGCTGAAGCACGTGTGGCTGACTGGTTAAGTGTCTTTTATCTTAATCGGAAGGTCGAGGGTTCGAACCCCACATGCGACATGGTCACCCCCTCGGATTCCTTCCCTTCGGGTTGCGAGGTTTTCTGGGGGCCTGGTGGTGTGGCCCCAGTTCTTAAGTGACAAGCCACCCCATCGCACTTCCCTCACCACCAAAAGCATTTAGTTCCCCATTGAGCTTAGGGTAGGGAGCCGCGTCATGACGTGGGTTAGTAAGATATAGCCAGTATTGTGTGTCGTTGTATTGTGATTGATATATTTCGTGTATGCGAGAAATTCACCACTGGTAGCCCCAGTCGGTATTTTTTTTTTAAAGCTAAAAAATCAAGCGGCACCGGGACTCGAACCCTTGACCTTCCGGCCGGGAAGCGAGAACTTTAGCACTGCTCCACAGAGAGACCCTCTTCCCTGGGCCCGGAAAAAGGCTTTTTAACCCTTATCCACATTTCCAAAGGTTTATGCAATTTTTAAGTAATTTTATCGAAATTTCGCTTTAAAACTCAAGTTGAAAAATTGGTAAGCGATTGGTAAGCGAGAACTTTAGCACTGCTCCACAGAGAGACCACGGAGAGACCCAGAAAAAGGCTCAGCTGCAAAATCGCCGCTTTTCAATGAAATTTTCAATAATTCCTTTTTGCAATTTCAAACTTTTCAAAGCACTTTGTATTTTGGTTGATGAAAACAGAAATACAATAGTTTGATCAACGATCCCTATGTTTCAATTTTCTTTTCAAAAACGGGGAAATTGACACAAAAAGTTCGTCGACACCGATTCACCAATGACCCGCCCGCTTAAAAGATAAACAGAAAACACTTTCTCTCTTAGCTCAGGGAAAAAGAAATGTGTTTAGATCACCGAGAGTTTATGGAGAAATTTTGATGAGTCAAAAGTTTTCTGTTAAAAGGTTGAATTCAAGAAATGATTGGGGTTTTTTGTGAAAAGCTATTCTAACTATTGAAATCTATTTATCTATTTAAATCCAATCCAATCCGTACTTTAAATCCTTTTTCTAGAAAAGAAAAGCTTAAAAATCGGGAATGTAGGCTAAATCCAGTTCAATCCAGTTAAATCCAAAGAACTTTTCGACTTGGAAAGTGAGCTTAAAGCTTAAAGAAAACTATTTACAGTTCTTATTGATTTTTTTTTAAAAGATTTTCTAAGCATTTGCAGTTCTTGATTTCATTTCCTCACCTTTGCATCCATTGCACGCCACAGCTCCATAATGTTTCCCGATTGCTTTGTCGCCGCAAACGACACATAAATCGGTTGAAGAAGATTGCAAAATTTGAGAGGAGACTGATGGGCTCACAAGTAAAAGATCCATTGTTTAGCTGGAAATGGGAAATTGATGAATTAAGAAAAGGAGAATGTTGAAAGGAATGAAAGAGATCAAGAAAGAGATAAAGAAAGAGATAAAGAAAGAGATCAAGAAAGAGAGATCAAGAAAGAAATCAAGAAAGAGATCAAGAAAGTGCTAATCGAATTAGTGAGTGGTATATTGATAAAGAAAGAGAAAGAGATTAAATGAAATTGTGAAGGAGAAGTCGTTGCTACCGTTTGGGAGAGAATTTTCAAAGAAATCTCCTAGTCAGTCAAACGAATTTCCATTTAAAAGTTAATCAAAGCAATTTGCATATAAAGAAAGCAATTCAATCGATCTTATATGCAAATTTCTTTACAATAACATATAAAGAATACAATTTCATTCATCTTATCTACAAATATCTACAAATATCTACAAATTTCTTTACAATTTCAAGATCTTTATATCATAAATCCTTTAAAAAGAGTTTATTTAAGAATTTCATTTAAGAAGTTCACAATTTTACTTGCAATAGTTCACTTTAAAGCCAAAGCCCATAAGCCTGCCCATAAGCCTAGCCAATAAGCCAAAGTCAATAAGCCAAAGCCAATAAGCCAAAGCCAATAAGCCAAGGCCAAAGCCAAAGCCAAAGCCAAAGCCAAAGCCAAAGCCATAGCCAAAGCCAAAGCCAAGGCCAAAGCCAATAAGCCAAAAAGTGCAACTTTTGCATATAAAAGGCCAATTTTGTAAAAGGAAAAGCAATACTGTTTACCGGTTTACCGAAAATACTTCAAAAACGGTTTACGTATAGGTTTTCCTGAAGGGAAAGGAGTCTATTTTGAGTTCAGCCTTGTTGCCTGGGGAAGCTTTGGAACTTTCTTCTGTGAACACTGATCGACAGTAACCCTGGGTGAAAATAGGTGAATGACTTTTCGGCAAAAAGGATCAAAATCCACTTTTTCAGACACAAAAACCCCCACATTGCTGAGCCCGCCCCCAGCTTTTTTTTCTGCAAGAGAAAATCCCCGGGATTTGTCAGAAAGATTAGAGTGAACCACGAACGCTTAAATAGTAAAATGAATAGAGAAAGCACTAGAGTTTTTTGGCGAATCAAAGATTGAACTGAAATTTCGAATCAATCTCTTGATTGCTTGCGGTTGAATGATAGATTGAATGATGAAAGTTGGAGAGTTATAGTGAAATTTTCGCGAGATTAGACTTAAATGGTGAACTTTGTGGCTAAAATTCGTCAAATTAACTGTTATCTGAGCTTTAGGGTGTTTAGATTGAGCTAAGATTCATCCAGATTTAAAATCTGGTTGAGATTGATTCTCAATCATGAAATTGAGAGACTAGAAGGAGTCTAGCACCGAAAATCTAGGGATAGCTGAGCTGCAAGGTGTTTAGATCGAGCTTTGATTGAGCTTAGCTTCAGTTCAAACTTGATAGACTACGTTTAGCACATAGAACCTGTACTCTGTACTGTTCTGTACTTAATCTAAAGCCTTCTTTTAGTCACGATTCAATTTCCAATAGCTAAAGAGCGCATTTTTCTCTGCAGACTTTTTGCAACCAAAGCTTGGCCAGGTGCAAAAACAGAGCTGGATCTGTAGATTGATGGAAAACTGGAAGCAGACTTGGAAAATATTGGAATAGGATTGGAATCGCTGGAAGAAGTTTCAATGAGAACAAGTCTAGGACTAGTTAAATAGCTACAAATATGTCTGACGTACTCAAATCGAATGGCTACAATCGTAAATAGAATTGTAGCAATGTAGTAAAACTAGACGTCAAATATCTTGAGAAACTGATAGCTTTTATGCCAAAAGTTCTTTGAAAGCAATAAACAAAATTCCCAAGTTCAAGGAAAGAGCTCTAAAAATGGAAATTTCTTAGAATACTGGCAAAAACTCTTTGGTTCAGAGGGCAATGTTTCTCTGGAAGGACACGGAAGTAGTCAAGGGCAAGGAAAAGGAATGAAGGAAAAGGGAATGAAGAAAAAGAGCTGTGGAAACGAGTGCAAGACCAAAGCTCGGAACTATGAGAGAGTGGGGTCTGCTAAGAGGTGCAGAGGCTGAACCCCGGTCCCTTAGGGCCAGCCCTCTCAAAATCCCGCCCCTTTTAGCTCCCTTCAGCCACAAAAAACCTTCAAAAAAAACGAGAGAGCACTAATCGAGCCGAGCAGAAAACATTTGCCTTGGACTTCAAAATAAAATTGTCGTTTGGGAAAATCTGGGTACATGTGATAGTTCTCACACACGAGATTTGCAAAGCTAGGGGCAAAGCAAATCTCATACACGAGATTTGCAAAGCTAAAGTTGGTAAGCACGTATGGGGCGATAGGGACAGCTAAAGTTGGACAAAGTAAGAGAATTATGAGAGACTTTGAGCTGTTTTTGAAAGCCAAATGCAAAGAGGCAAGATTGAGGACAAAAATTGGGTGCTATAAAGATAAGTGGAGAGAAACCGGGTTGACTATGGCCTTTCATCCCAAAAAGATAAGGCAAGCACGTATGGGGCGATAGGGAGTCACGCAGAATTTTTCGGGAAAGAATTGGAGACGTGAAATCGGTGATGAGAAGGTGCTATGTGCAGAAAAGAGACCACAAAATACGTGGAGATGCGGAGAATTGAATCGGGAATGATAAATGATTGAGATTTAATGTTAAAAAAGCTACTGGAGTGAGCTAACTAATTATAGCTGGCTTGGGCTTACTGTATCGGGTACTGGTACTTGTTTAACTGATTCAAAATCGACTTCTGTACTGGATAATTTAAAATTAGACCTTGTTATTCAACTGTGATGAATGAAAATCTAGAATGTGATGTAAAAGAATCACTGGAGCTGTTAGCTGTCAGAAGATCATGGTTACTAGTGTGGCAAAACTCGTTTTGTACTGGGAATCGAACCATTGGTAAGCTGTAAGCTTTCGCTCGATAAGCGAGAACCACTGCGCCAAAGACACAGCTTTTTCTGCCACTAGAAAAGCGCTTTTAACTCTTATCTATACAATGAATGTCTTGGCATCAGTTCTAGTCTTTTTCTGGGATTGGATGGAATGGATGTTTGTTTGTCAGTGAATGACCAAACGCAGGGTCAGATAAGTTTAAAGTTCTGTACTAGGTACTGGTCTAGTCTAGTACTCGTACTAGTAAGTCTAGTACTTGTTCTAGAATTGGACAGTATTGAGTGATAGACCAGTGATCAGGGCAAGATAAGAGCCAGCCAGCCAAGTAGTGTGCTGTTAACTCAAGAAGTACCAGGTTTTGCTTGAAAATCTAATACTTCTAATACTCTAATACTTGGTCTAAAGTCTAGTATTTCTTTAGAAATCTCTATTTCATCTTTTTCTTTCAGCAAGCTACATCTTAAAACATTTGAGCTGATGATCTGTTGGAAATTGGAAAGACTTTGGTCACAGCTAAGCTAATCAGAAACAGGCTTTGCTGTGCTTACAATATTACCAAGTAACTTATTAGCAAGTAAATAGTATAGAAAAATAGCAGAAATGTTTTAAGAATAAAATTTGAAATCTTTTTCTAAATGTTTCTAAATTGTGAGCGATGAGAAATGTGGGGGATTGAGAGGAGAGAGGCGGGTCTCTCTCAATCCAATGTTTTCCAAGCGACAAGCTCCGCCCTTTTTCTCTTTTCCTTTGATCAAAAAGTTCGATCGGAACAACGATCATCCATCGATATATTTCGTACGTCATGACCTCTCGTGCCAGAGTGACAGACAATTTTCAATGATCATTGAAAATCATGTTTTTGCAATAGTTGAGAGATTTCTTTGGTGAATTCGTGGACTTTACTTGTTGATTTCTAGTGATCTTTATTGTATAAATGTAAAGAAAAGCAAGGTGAATGTTTTCAATGTTCAGTTTTCAATGGGTTTATCGTTAAACTGAATCTGTAGATTTGGTTTTGAAATCTAGCCGTTCTTGAAATCTAGTTCTTGACTAGCTTATCCCTTTTACAGCAACTTTGGATATTAAAAAATTGTCTAATTTATATTCAGATGTTCTTTCTAAAGCTTGACATCGAATACAGAAAGATTAATGCTTTATTTTAGTACTTTATCAGACTTTTTTCAATACTGGAACTTTCAAAAACTTGTAACCAAACTTTTAGGCTTAAAACCAGGATCCCTTTTTGACTAATGCTTTTCTAAAACGTATTAACTTCGAAAAACTACCATAAGCTTGAATCTAGAAAGCTGCCAATCTTATCAATTTTGATTTACGATCATTTATCCATCCCTTAATTCAATCTATCTACTTTTAAGCTACAAGAATATCTGAAAATGGAAATTGTTTATAGATGGGGAAAACTAGAGGAAAGATTAAGGGATTAAGGAAAGATAGTTACCGAAAATAAATCCCCTTTAACAACCGACATAACATTTATGGAAACTATAAGACAAATTATAAGATGTTGACCGAGAACTTTTCACAGAAGCATTCGAGATTTGTAGATGAAAAAAAAAGATTTAAAGATTTAAATTCAATCTCAAAACTAGTCGAAAGCTTACAACAAAGATCTATGAACAAAGTTTTTTAAATAATTCCCGATTTTTTAACTGAAAATTCGTAATCTCACCGGTTTAGATGAAAACTAAAATCACTTACTTTCAATTACTTTTTCTATCTAAATTTGATGACTTTTTACTTCTTTTGTAATCTTTTCTTGGATTCGTTCTTCTCACGAAACGGATTTCCCAATGGTACCTGGGATTTGTGATTAAGTCGTCGAGAACTTAAAAGAACAAAAAATGTTCGACTTTTGTGGCTACAAATGTGGAAATATGAGGTTAGATTGAAGATTGGCGATTAGTGAGGATGAAAGTATGCGGCGAACGGTGTTTTTCAAAAGGATTTACGACTACAACGACGCTTAGTACTGTTAGTTCCAGAAATTCTATAATCTTGCATGATTAGGCCAAAAATCGGGCTTAACTTTGTTGAAAAACTTTACAAGAATGTCAAATTTTGAGTTTTAAATCCTTCAGTAAAATGGCTCTC